GCTATTTCTGACAGACGTGTTTACTTTCATTCACAGGCTACGAGGACTTTCTCTCTGTTATAACCAACGTTTGGTCGTGCGTTGTCCATACATTCATTGCGGAAGTGAGGAGCTTTTCCACACGACGCAAAGCTTGGACTGTGCGGACATCTAGCGGCCGATCAGGAGAAGGCGCCCATTACCTAGAGATGTACGGAGCTTCAGGTATCCCCGAGCTCATCCCGCCCAGCGGGCCGCCGCGGCAGCCCGGCCCGGCAGGCCAGTACAACCCGGGACACCCCCAGGTCAACGGCCACGGCGAAGGGGCCAACCCTCAGAGACTCGGACAGAGGGCGCCCAAACTGGGGCAGATCGGTCGTACCAAGAAAGGTGAGTGATACTTGTGTTTGTGTGACAGGTGCAGGGAGCAGAGCCTGTGACAGCAGCTTTTACTCCAGGGGTCCACAAGACACAATGATGACACACAACTACATACTCACAACAATGACAATGACAAGAATCAGCAGCTGCATCCAAACAGACACTAACAAGTTAGAATAACGTGATATCCATACAGCAGGCTGCTTACAGTATTTACTATCTATATCAAAGTGAATGGTGCAATTATGGTATTTTGGATACATAGAGTTTGACCACAGCAAAGCTTTTAATAGCAGGTGGTCCCAGCCTGAGCAGAGAGGAGCAGCAGGGCTCCTGGACAGAGACAGAGGCTTCACAATTAAAGGAAGTGAGAGGAGAGAATCTGCTCATCATAATGTATGTTCATGTAGGGCTCCTTAAGACGTGTTATAAAAAAAAGTGTGTGTTGGGGGGGGGGGTTATGATGCACATGTACACCAGAAAACACAAGAATCAGAACAAACCAAAGTGCATGAGAACGCACACACAATTGTTCTTTTACTTTGCATAAGGTTTATAGAGCTGCAGTGATAAACTGATCAGGAGAAATTGGAGCACAATCATGCACCTTGTATTATTCAGTAACACATTTTTAAATTGAGATTGACCTCCATGGTTTGCCTGTCTCCAGAGAGCAAGAAGATGATGTTAAGAGTTGGTGAATATGAAGCTGATATTTCAAAACGTAGGCAAGCCGGTAGTTGCAGTAAGGCTGCGCTGAGTTAGTCTGAGTATCATGTAAACGTCATCTACAGATACTGCAGCCTCTGATGTAGGGGTGGTGTTTGAAAATTGTTAAATATTTAAAGCAATAGTCCAGTTTCCTGCAGAGAGTAAGAGGAGAGGATTGATACCACTGTAATATCTGTGGGGTAAATATGAAGCCAGAGAAACCAGATGGATCTTGGCACAAAGACAAATCAAACAGCTGCTTTAAGGGAACTGATTTCTTAAAATGGATAAAAATCGATGCATCTAAGCTCCAGTTTTGACGCCATATCTAGTATTTTGTTCAGTAGCGGTGCACATTCCTGACCTTTGACCTCTCCTCCCTCAGTGGACCTGGACGACGAAGACCTGGACGACATCATGAACAACAACGGGCAGTGTCCTGTTTCCCTGTCGCCCATCTCCTAAACTTCACCATGAAGTGCCAAAAAGATTTAAAAAATACATCAACCCTACCCCACCCCCCCACCCCCTACCCCCCTACCCCCCTACCCGCCCCGCCCAGGACGCCAAACCTGCACGTCAGTGATCTTGGCCTTGACCCTGTCAAGTGTCCTACTGAAGCGCCTGACGGCTCGACACGGCACAAACACGGCTCACTTAGCGCCAGCTGACGCCAAGGCCCTGATTTGTATATAGTGTTTATTTAAGTTAACGTTGGTCAGACTGTGAATGAATTGTTTCGCATCGCCCTCTACTCTTTACCTCTGTAGGTGGAAGACTGTCGGGACTTGAGAAAGATTTGGAGAGAGCATCTATATTTTTCAGAGCTTCTTAACAAGGGCTACGTTTCTGAAGTTGCACTGAGCAAACGATTTGGATGACGGGCGGCCTCTCGCCCGCCCTGTTTGCTGGTGAGGGTTACTGATTGTCTGTGTGTGTGTGGGGTGGGGGTGGGGGTGGGGTGGGGGAGCCGTGGGAGAGAACACAAGCCTGTTAATGTGTATCACACAGGTAAAAATATTAAGCTTTGGTTGTGCAATGACTATCATTCTCTACTCTCACACTGATGCAAGTGATGTACTATTATCCAGTGGATGAAAGCTCGCTATTTACAGCAAAAAAAAACAAAACAACAACTACTGCTAATTATTTATTGTTTCAAAAAAAAACTAAAGAGACATTTGTTGTGTTGTTATTATGGCTTCTACATGGTTTTTACTTTGTTTTCTGAATGGATATCGCTTCTGTCATCTATAACTTGAGATTTCTTATGTTTCCAAAATGGTGCACTTTTGTGGGAATGCCCGTTATGTGCAGTGACATGTTGCAGAATTCTATGCATGAAGTCTGTTGAAGCATCAGAACACGTAACTGGTATCCCGTTATTAAAGGGCTAATGTAGTTGTATTTCAAACCAAACGCACACACACACACACACACACACACGCACACACACACCATTTGGCCTCTTTAGATCATGCAGTCAGCGGTTTTTTTTTTGTTTTTGTTTTTTAGTCAGAGCTCATTGTTGGCCTCGAGCTGCAGACTCAGCAGGAAAATATCAAAAACAACAACAAAGTTATGGGATGTTTTGTTTGTTTTCAAAAGGCAGGGTTTCTCCCCAGTTGGCCACACGACTGTGATAAAAGAAAAATTGCCAAAATGATATTTTAATGCTACGTCAGATTGATCACGAAAAATACACAGCACTAATCCGTTTGCTGAGCTGCGCCCACACGGCATCATAGTGTCTGTTGACTTTTTTTAAAGATAATGACAACCTTTACTTTACAATTACACTATGAGACGATGAAAACAAGCTGAAAACATGCAGCCTATGATTAGCTCTTATTGCTGAGACAATCTACGAACACTGATGTTTTTAGAGATTGCGGTGGACCTGGGAATGACATATTGTCTATAAAGGCTCATGCTGATGTCATGTTACTTAGTCAGCTGTGAAATTGTTACTAGTTCACTTTATTTTTTATTTTATTTTTTTGCACTATGGAAGCACTGCATTTCACAGCTCCTTCTCTGACTCAAAGGGTGTCGTTTTGGGTTGCGGTCGCCATTTGCATGGAAATGGTCGACTTTTCAAAAATGCATCTCGGGAAATAAAAGACGAAATCTTTGTGGAATCTTTTGTGTTTTATGTGAAGTGACTGTAACGTGACTTGATTCACAGTTCCAGTTGTGTCCCCAAAGAGCATATCAATCATTTAAAATGCATTTACCAAGCTTTATAGTTTCTTCATAGTTCTTTGTACCTTTCACACTTTTGTATAAAACTGTAAACATATGCAGAGGTTTAAAAATTTTTTTTTACTATACAGTCATACATAAAGGGTGTTACATGTAGGTAAAGATGCAAAAGTAAAGTGGGGTAAACAGCTCAGAAGAGGCTCATTCACAAAATATCAGTCTTTATTTTCTCAAGCAGAGTGAGTCTTCCCCAGTTTACCTTGACCTGTGTCACGATTTGGTTTTTCCACATAAAACTTCCAACAACCGGGTTAAAAATTAAACTTAAATCCACCTCACTGACACAAAACATGTGTGCTGCTCCACCGAGAGGCCCGCGCTGCATGTACGAGCACTGGAAAAAGTCAAGCTTCCTCGTCACGCTCGTGCAAGTTGTTTCCTATGACTTTATGTTATATATAAATATAGTGCGTCGATGAGAAACTTACCGCCCGCGGATGAATGTCAGAACGGCTCTCTAGTGTCAAACTCTGCACATACATCATCCTGCACAGTGAAGCTCAAACATCCCAGTTAATCGACAACACGCAAAGCACTTTTTTAATTAAAATATATAGTATAAAAGATTTTTTTTTCTTTCTTTTTAGATACAAGTATGTGGTTTTATTGATTGTATGAAAACACAATTAACAATTAACGGTTTTTGCAATGTTTATTATTTAAGTACTCTTGGACATGTTAAAAATGTTCTTTCATTCATTTATCTGCTAGATGAGCCAAATGTATAAAACTATGACATTTAAAAAAAAAAAAAAAAAAAAAGCAGACACTGTTCAGAGCATAAAACATCTTAATAAAAAATATGACAGTCTCTGAAAGCTACAAAAGGGCCAGAGTGAACTACAGATTATTGTGAATCTACACAGGAGCAAAAAAAAAACCTACGTTTGACAAAATAAATAGAGGCGGTTTATTCTTACAGTGGCTGATATGGATGGAAGCTATTAGAGCGACAATGGCTACGGTGACTACACGACAAAATATTTCATTTCTGAGCAGGGTTTGTAACAGAGTGGTACGAAGAGCTGCAGGGGCCTGACGTGAGTGTCGTAGTAAAAGGGCCCGTGTGATACAGTCACCCTTACACAGTGAGCCCTGCGTGTGAAGTCGCACCCTGCTCATCGTAACGTCTATTTTAGAAGCGCCAACAGTTAATATAAAAAAAAAACAAAAAACACTGTATTGTCACCCTGTGTGTCTCTGTTGTACGGAGCCCCTGATCCGCAGCCGAGGCACCAAACTGGAATTGATTACTTTCAATTACATGGCAAACGCTAATAGATGCTGGTTCTAACACGGACGTGCAAGTGTTGGCTGTAATCCATCATTTAGGCTACTGTTCCAGAGGTTACGCCCCCGAGGGTTGTCTATTAAAGTCAGGGGATCCAATTATAATGTGTTTGTGAAGACCACTTGTAAACAACTGTGGAATGTGTGGACGGGGTGCGAGACATCATTCATGAAACAATTGAGATTGCTGCATGATAATCAAGGGGTTATCAAAGGCCTGAAGTAAAAGTAAAGAAAAGTCCCATTTCAGTAACTCTTTGCATCTGTCTATGATTCACAACACTGCCCATACACCCTCACTTTTACTCGTTTGGGAGGGGGGAGGGGGTAGGGGGGGCTTCTTGGTCCGAGTCCCAGGCTGTAAGGGGACGCTCTCAGACGTATTCCTTCGTGCTGCTCGGAGGGCCGGAGCGGGAGCTGGCCATGGGTGGATATTTGGATACCTGCTTCTTTCTCGGACAGGAAGCAGCCAACATGGCCCCGCCCAGGACGTCTAGGAGGGAGCCGCCCCACGCGATGAAGATGGCCGCGCCAAACTCGAATCTGGCAGAAGAGTGAGACAATACCGACGGGTTAAACTCACAAAAGTGAACTTAGGATTCACAGAGATGAACCGGACCTCTGGAAAAGTGAAGAATGAAAGAACTGCGTTTCTCACTAGACCTTCGCAAACGTTCCCACAGAAACTTGAAATGGTGAAAGATACAATCGGGTCTTTTTGAATTCAGGAAGGATGAGTTTGCTTATGAATACAGCATTTCATTCATAAGAAGAAGAGTGTTATTTCTTTTTTTCCCCAAAAGTTACATTGTGACGCTTTAAGTAGCAATACAATATCAAAGGCCTGCATTCAAAATTAGACTTCAGTAAATCAGTTATTAATTCATAATGGTCCCTAAAGAGTGTTGCATCAATATCTATATTATATCATTTAGATTTTATCACTGACTCGTTAATGTATATGATGGATTTAATGTAAGGTGGATGAGGTAGGGCACTTTTTAAGCACTGTATATACTGTTTGTTTCAGCTGTATAAAAGCATATATGATCAGGTGATCGTGTTTTATATGGAAGACGTGAATCTGCAAAGTAACAAAAGCTCTCAAATGGTAAAATGTACAATATTTCCTGATGATACAGCGGAGGAGAAGAAATTTAAATATTCAAATGAAGTACTCATACTCCAAAATAATGCTTAAAAGAATAGTTCAACAGTTTGGAAAACACAACCTACTACTAGCTGTTTCACCCTGTTTCCAGTCTTTATGCTAAGCTAAGTTAAGCTAAGCACCTCCTTCCTTTAGCTGTACATTTAACAGACCGATACGACAGTGGCAGTGATCTTCTCATCTAACTCAGAAAAATATGTGAATAAGCAATTTCCTAAACTATTTCTTTTGTAGCAGGCCTTGAATAGAGCGTGGTGTTTGTGTTACGTACTTGGTGTTGACAGGAGTGTAGGGATTATAGAAAGCCCGGATGACATTATGAGCAAACCAGGAGCACGCCACGATGGCACAAAGCCCTGGGAGGAGAGAGAGAGAGAGAGAGAGAGAGAGAAAGTCAACAACAAAGATCAATCAGTCCATCAGCACATCATCAAAACCTGAGAGCGCAGACATGCTTTTATCCCCCCTTTATAGTCGCCAGGCGGCTCGCCACTGACTGCAGCACAATTAGCTTTTAGTGTTTCTCTTCAGAGCCAGTTAGAGCCCTTATGTCAGAATCAGTGCCAGGAGTTCTGGTCTCATTCAGTCTGACGACCTCTGAGGGGCCGGAGCAGGGGAGTGGGAGGAGAGCTTTTGGACTGGGGGATCAAACTTCCTCCTACCTTATTGTATGATGTGCAGGAGATCTAAGATGCTGTGATGATGAGGTGGAGTTTGGGTGTGAAATAGTATGCAACCAGGTTTGTATTGTATATTAAAAACTCAAATAGCCTGAGTAAAATATCAGACACGTACGGGTGCCTAATTAAAAGGAATATAATAAATGCAGATGCTTCAGTACAGAGTTGGTCTTCGCTGAATGGTTCGATGAGCCTTCACGGTCACTTGGTCTCCGCCCAGTTGGAAAACCTGAATATTTTTCTCCCCACCAGCATCATCCGAACACCAAATGAAGGAATATATGATGGAAGACTGGTGTCCCACCCCTCCAGAGGAGCTCCACACATGGAAGCTGTTCTGGCAGCTCGCGGTGGAACGACACCTCTCTGTTGGTTTTCCCCTTTAATTCATCATCGACCTGTAATTGAATTTCTCTCACATCAATGATCATCAATAACAGGGAAATGGGCGAAAGCTGTAAAAGGAGCACTTCCATCCTCACCGCCCACTAGGAGGATGATTCCTCCCGTCATGGCGACGCGGGACTTGCGTAGTTTGTCGCTCCCTCCGCAGGTGGTGCACTTCATTCCCATACAGGCCACGCCCAACCCCGCGATGGACACAATGATGCCGACTATCATCAAGGCACGAGTGGCCTGAAGGGAACCTGGAGAAGACGGAGAGACGGAAACAAGTAATGATTACGGTGAAGAGGAGTACAGGAAGTGTGTGTGTTGGCTCCGTCCGGGGAGGCAGCGAATACATGTCCTTTTGTTTGGTGGAATGTGGGAACTTTGCAAAACCACAAAGAGCACATGGAGTCAAATAATCAATCTTATCTGTAAAAGTGCAAATCTGGAGGCACGAACCAGAAAATGATCAGGAACGACTCATAAACCGTCCTCGATCTATCAAGGAGGCTTTATGAGAGTGTCCCGAGGTTGTGAATTACATTAACATCAGCCTGTCAGGACACTTTAATGTGAGCTTTTCCTGGAAGAGAAACCATGGGATACACATGAACACACACACACACACACACACACACACAATCAGAAAGAAAGAAAAAAAAAAAAAAAAAAAACACATCTCACACTTTTTTTCCACTGTCCCATCTGTTGCTGTTAGAGAGGTGGAGGCCTGCTGAAATACTACTGTCACGATCCTCATCCAGCCCCCCCCCCTCTCCCTCACACTATAAACCTATCACAGGGTGCCCCCATCCCCCCACCCCCCACCCTCTGTCCACCTAGAACCAGTCTGTGCCAGTCTAGGCCATCCCTGCCCTGCCCAAACAAACAAAACCCTCCAGCAGCGAGGGAGGGACGGATGGATGGGTAGAGGGACGCAGAGGGGAAGAGGATGTAGAGGAGAGAGAGAGAGAGAGAGAGAGAAAGAGAGAGAAAGGGGGGGGGGTTGGGGTGGACTCTATAAAGTAGTGAGAAACGGGAAACAACAGGGTGGATTATATAGTAAACGCACATCAGGATGCACACAGTTGCACTGAACAGCAGCACACAGTTTTAGTCAATCATGGGTCATGGAATCATTAGGAAAAAGATAGATTAAACACCAAAGAGGCTCGAATTAAAAACTTTAATTCAGGAATATGCACTATAAACATTTTAACACGAGGCCCCTCTACAAGACAGACCCACACTGAGGCCTTACATTTCAGCTAATATGAATCAGATCATCTTAAAACCAAGGGTCTGAAACCCAAGGCCTGTTGCACACTTAAACCTTCTGTATCATAGTGAACGCAGTGCGATGCCGATTAGATCACTTCACACAGACGGGTAGATTCCGACAGATATATTGGATTTCGGCAGAGACAGCATCAGTGTTTGTCCACCGATCGGGTTATAATTGGCTTCATAATCCAAATCTATTACCTCACAGCTGCTCCGGAGAGTTTGAAGACCTCCATCATGTTATCACCGCGCAACAGGTGCTATAGAAAAACCTGAATTATAGTGTGTATCTCAGCATGCAAAGCTTTAGTTAAATGATCATAAATCAGTGTGCTGGTCGACGTTCAGTCGAGGGTTGAGATGCCTGTGTGCTCCAATTTAGTTACCATGGCCACCACTACCCGTGAAGAATTGAAACAGATCATTTTTGGCAACCTTTTTTTTTTTTTGTTTTGTCTGCTTTATTTGAGAGGCTATTTCTGCTGGAACTGAGGTGCATCATTTGACAGCGAGCACTTAGTGTCAAATGAAACGAAACTCCGCTTTCTGTCTCAAAGGAATATTTGTTCACCCAGAGGCTTTAACGATGACCACAGGACCATGATGCTTGGATAATGTGTCATCTTGTGTGCGAGAGTGTTGGGAAGATTGTGTGTGTGTGTGTGTGTGTGTGTGTGTGTGAGTGTGTGAGTGTGTGTGTGAGAGAGAGAGAGAGAGTGAGTGGGTGGGTGGGCAGTGGGGTGGGAGGGTTTCCTTGAATGTGACAATGTATGGGTGAGGTTCCTCTTTTCAAACCTTTTTCTCCAGGAATCTGCAGCTGCTTTTTTTTTTTTTCCTTCTTTTTTTCAAACAGGAAACTATATGGAGAAAACAATGTCCCTCTGTAGTGAGGGACTGCACTGGGCTCTGTTGATGGTAACAGTGGATGGTAATTAAGAAGTGATGAGCAGATTACAACCCTGAGGTGGTCACAACAGCCAGGTCTTATTCAGATGGAGGAGGTGCTCTGATGGACCAGGTGGAGAAACACACATGATCCACACCATCCTGCTCTGTAACACCACTTCTCAAGGGGAGGGGGGGGCAAGCAAAGTGAATAGCTGTTGATATTAATTACTGACACTGTATTAAATAAAAAAAAATAAAAAAGAATAAGCATGTAATGTATTCACAGAATGGATTGTATCCACACTGGGCTACTCACTGTCGAGCTGCAGGATGGAGTCGTAGATTTTACACTGGAGCTGTCCGGTACTTTGGAAAGCGCATGACATCCACAGCCCCTGGTACATGGCCACCGCTGTGATGATGTTGTCCCCGATGTACGCCGACATCTTCCACTGCGGCAGGATAGTCCCGATGATCAGTCCGACGATCCCGATTAGCGACAGGAAAAATCCCAACAGCTGAATACCGGAGTTGGCCATTATTTAAAAAATAAATAAAAAATTAAAAAAAAAAAAANGTACGCCGACATCTTCCACTGCGGCAGGATAGTCCCGATGATCAGTCCGACGATCCCGATTAGCGACAGGAAAAATCCCAACAGCTGAATACCGGAGTTGGCCATTATTTAAAAAATAAATTAAAAATTAAAAAAAAAAAAAAAATGATTTGAATCCCCTCCTCTAACTTTAAAGAATGATCCCGTGTCCGTGATAATCTTCTGTAAGGTACAACGCTCCAGGAATGTCTGGTAAACTCTGTTAATTGTGATGAAAAGACGCAAAAGCCGCCGGTGGTGTCCGTGTCGCTCCTGAGTTGTGATGCCGGGGGTCTTCAGTCGGGGATGGGCTTTCCAAGATGTGGGTGATGGTGTGAAGTGGGTGTGTAATTATCATGACTGCTGATGCATGGAGCTGCAACTCCTCTGTGGTGGCAGTGGTGGTGGTGGTGGTGGTGGAGTCGCTGCTGGGAAATGTTCCCCCCTCCGTTTCCAGCAAAGCAACAGGTTGTCTTCAGTGTCTAACCTTTTTTAGAACTATCACACACACACACACACACACACACACACACAAACACAAACACAAACACACACACAAACACAGGCTCCATCCGTACAAACTCATGCACACCATCACAACTTTATGTGATAATCAATATCAAGGTGCATTTTGTCTGCAGTTAGCTGCATGTGGCATATTGGACTTTTATATTCAATATAATAATAAACCCACAGAAATCATGACACCTGTGCTTTGAATATTCAGCTCTAATCTAAGCATCAAGCTTAAGGCGAGTGTGTTAAAAAAAAAAGAATATACAGAATTTCATATTGTTGATGTGCATTAAAAGCACTTTTTGCTCAGGCTTAATTTTCAAATTTCACTCTTTAGTCATATATTTTAGACAGTGTGTGGGCAAGTACAGTATTCACACCACTATACATTCTATAGTAAAACCACTAACCCAGATTGAAGCTATAACTCAAGTCCATGTCTCTGTACAAAGTCAAGTAAACTCCCAACTGTTCTTTTAGCCCAGATCACCAATCTCGTGCTGCTGACAGGCTCCGTTCACATTCATGACCTCTGTGTTTCCAGGAACTGTAACCGGCTGGATGAGAACAGACAAATTCAATGAAGAAAAACTCAAGGGGAAAGCTGCGTACAGTAACAAGCTGAGGTGAGATTAGACAGTAGGAAAGGGTGGGTGGATGGATGGATGGGTTTTGTCTGACAGTGTCACATATTCTGCGTTGGATAAAAATGAATTTGACAAAAGATAATCAGAAAATGAATCATAGATATTCTGGCCCCGAGAGCTCAATGCACTGCAACTTCAGAAAACACATGCAAACAGACAAAAACACAAGATAATTCAGAAAACATCATCATCAATTTGAAAACACAACCAAAAAGACAAACGCACTGCAAGTAGCACAGACGATAAAGGAAGTGTTTCCAGGGGACACAAAATGGGAACCCGAACTTGTTCAAATATGAAGCATTGAACAACAAGTGGACATGGATCATATGCATTAGATTAGATGTATTATAATACATCCCATGCAAGTGCGTCGTCTGTGCTACTTGCAGCGCACTTGGTTGTGGTGTGCGCATTTGCATGTGTTTTCTTAAGCCGCAGTGCACTGAACACTCAGGGCCACCGTAATATTCAGGTATTAAATTAACTGTGGCTTTATTGGACTCATAAAAACTGGTTAATAAAACTTGAAGAAACACATTAAACAGAAATTATGTGGGGCGTCTAAAACCGCTGAAAATAAAAGTCACTACAAACAGATACAAAGACCATCACATTAAAATGAAGCGTTAGGTCGAAATACATAATTATACAAACAATACTGTATTATGATGATCTAAGGAGCAAGACTGGGAAACAGTCACTGCTCTATTGCTCGCTAGATTTATCTGTGCAATCAGTCATTTTTTCTTAATGAAATCAACTGGATGTGACCATTTCATACCTGTTGTCACTTATCTATATTTTACCATATATATATTTGTTCCATTGGGTCCATTAACATGCAAGTTGTAGCCACTTCCTGCAGTGAATGGGGGAGAAAAAAAAAAGAACAAGTGACAATAGCGGGCATTGTTCATATCAGCGGTCCGGCTTAGCAGTGCAGTGTGTGCAACTTCACACTGGGGCTAAACAATAGTCCTGCAAGCAATGGGAGAGGAAGTAATAACCCGTAAGCCTGGAGGAAGTTCTCCCTACTGCCAGGTTAATGGGAATGTGCTCACCTACCGGCTGGGTTACCTATTTAAAATGTAATGAGGCTTTGCTAGGTTGCTCTCACAGGTCTGTTTTATTCTTTCACAACCCCCTCTGCATTGAACCTCTTCATTTTCCCATGTTCTTGCCCTTTCCCTCCACCCACCTCTTCTCTCACTATAACCCCCCCCCCCAGTCTACTGTATCCAGGCTGGAGAAATAAGCCTCAAGGTTTAACTGTAGAGGCCAACAAATGCCTCATTGTTGCCGGGGGAGGAATGACCCGATAGCTCAAGGAGTCAGTTTCACTTTGATACAGAGGTTGCCAAGCAGGAGGAAGAGGAGGAGGAGGAGGAGGAGGAGGAGGAAGAGGCAGGTTTTGGGGGTTAAAAGTGTCCTGGAGGTCAAGGAGGGAAGAGGAAGATGAAGGAGACAATGACAAAAAAAACATGAAGGTAAGAAAGGTGGGCACANGAGGAGGAGGAGGAGGAGGAGGAAGAGGCAGGTTTTGGGGGTTAAAAGTGTCCTGGAGGTCAAGGTGGGAAGAGGAAGATGAAGGAGACAATGACAAAAAAAACATGAAGGTAAGAAAGGTGGGCACAAAGTGATGGTGAGGTGTGGAAGAGGAAGATGAGCAGGAAGAAGATCAGGGGCCGGTCTCAGGCCTACCAGTGGTGTTGCCGCTGGTAACCTGATTTATATCATGTCCTCTTGGCTGCTTTTCCACCCAGGTCCTGGATTGCAGAGAATACAAAAAGAACCTCGCCCCCCCCCGCTCTCTTTCCCCTTTTTACTACTTTTCTTTTTTTAAAAGCGTAAACACACATTTGTCTTGCTGGTTTAGCCGTTGCTCAACGCTCAATAGGAGGCGAAAAAGAAAACAGCTAAATCAGCGCAAAGAAGGGCGCTAACAACATTCTCCTGAGGCCTCCTCTGGGTCTGAAGTGAGCGAGTGGAGTGCAAATCTAATGATTGAAGTCCTTTAAGTGCCCTTGGAAGTCACTGAGGCATTAGCAATAAAACATGCTGGGCCCACGGCTTTTCCCTGAAAAGCTCAGAGTGCGCAAATGAGGGGGATGGCGCCCTTCTCTTCATGTCCCCTGTCTTCTCCATCTTTAGCCTTCTTATGCAACAACACTTGGCTTTTGTGCAGCAGCAGCAGGACAGGGCCAAGAGATTGTGTTCTTGGTCTTGTGGACTCATTCTTCTCATCTTCCCTCTGAGGCAATGAGAGAGAGAAGTGTTCTTTTCTCCGAAGCGCTTGGAAAGTGCTACATGCATGCTACACTGAGGCTTTATGCCGCACATCTCTATTTGTTTTATGTCTTTGTGGTAGTTTTATGTCTCAGTGTAGCTGTTTTATGTCTCTTTACAGTCATTTTGCATCACTTTGTAGTTGTTTTTACAGCTCGATTTACACCTCACTTTGGTAGTTTTGCCTCATTTGGTCATTTTGTATCTCTTTGTGATCGTTTTGACTGACTTAATCTCTTCTTAGCATGTGTTCCACCCACGGCCATCTCAATAGACCCTCCCCTGTACTCAACCAAACTAAAATATGGTTATTTTTGCCATGTTTTAGTTCGGCTGGAGAAGACAACAGTAATAAAACAAAATGAAAAACACTGGGTCAAAACAACCTGTTGTCTTGGGTTTGAATAGTGACCCACCTGTTTTCTACACATGGATAGCAGACAAAGTGAAACCAGCATTATGTTGGTCATTTTTTTTAGGTTTTCAAATTTCTGTATTTCTGTAATTTCTGCTTGGCCTGTGTTAATCTACTTTGCAACATTCTTGAGAGCATCATCCGAACAGCTTCACACTTAACTTCTTCAATAATACACCCTGCAGTGTGTGTGTGGTCAGTCGGTCTCGTTTGTTACTGCTGGAGCTGGCTGCTCCACTCCTCCGTCCGAGTTCTGCCTTTCTTAAAAACCCCGGTATGTATGTGTGTGCTTTAAATTGTCCTGGTGCTGCACTGCCCTCGTTCCTCGCGTTAAATAACATGTGTAGACAAAGCAGTGTTTGAATCTTTCTCGCGAGCTGCTCGTCCAAAAACCTTCACAGTCAACACTGCACTTCCTTCCTCCCTCAGCAATACACCTGCAAAGTTTGAAATCAATCACATGAGCGGTTGTCAAGAAAATTGAAACACAGACAGATTCCTCCATTTATAGTTGTAATCTACCTTTTGATTTCTCTTCTAACGGTAGTGTTTTTCTTTGACTTAACATCACATTACTGCCATCTAGTGGCCAAAAGCAAACATTACAATCACTAACTGTAATCACAGTCGAGCACAGACTATTTTCCTGCATGTATCACAGAGTAAAAGCGTTTTTTTTGTTTGTTATTTTTAAATAAACACAAACGCTGTCAATTTCAAGAAACATGTATTTCAAGCTTTTAGACTCAAATAAAGAACATCACAACGTGTTAAATACATGATGCAAAACCTTTGAGTGTTACCACATATACATTTACCGTCTATAGATCCATACATGGTTTGTGTTATAAAGTTGGCTGTGTGTCAGATCTGTATACTTCTCTTTATGTAAAGTGACACGTCTTCGTCTGCAGCCTGACCTCACCCGGAAATGTGGAGTAGGTATTTATGATAAGTCGGATGTGGTGATTTTAGAAAAAGCACAGAGAAGAAGTAGAAATCAAGTGACAACCAAACAATGTGTCAAGCTCCAACTGTGTGTGTGTGTGTGTGTGTGTGTGTGTGTTGTTTTCTAAGGGAAGGGGTTATCAGGAGTGTAGTTGAAACTGGCGTCCAAGAACATGGCCAGGGTTCCCAGGGTGGTGATGATGACAAACAACCACAGGAAGAGACGGTCCACCACCAGAGCGATGAACTGCCAGTCTCCTGTCATCTGGAGGGAAGACACACACACACACACCCACACACACACAATAAAGCACTTACTGTAAGCCCTGAGTCAGCAGTGTACTGTACGTATGCACTGACACATGAACATCGCTGGGGCATGTGTGGAACACTCCGTGCTCAGGGGCCGCAGACAGACCGGGTAACAAGCTGCCTGACAGTGCGAGCCGTGCCGTGCCGTGCTGTGCCGTGCGTGTTTCTCACCGTGTCGTCCGTGTCCTGCTTCTTCAGCTGCTCAGCCATGTATGTCACGGCGGCGATGGCTGACTTCAGGTTGGGAGGGAGGATCAGACAGAAGCTGTCAGTGTTCGGGAGCTGCTGGAGCTGCACCGTGCTCTCACACCTAAAAGACAGAAGCACGGAGAGAGACGGAGGGAGAACTTCAACACAGAAGAGGATGGAGAGATAAGGGGGACGCAAAAGGATCGGAAATAAGACATTAAGTCGAGTTAAAACTTTCTTAAACATAAACTCAAGCTGATAAAATACTACAAATAAGACAAAAAAACTTCACTCAAGGGCCATTTTCTAGCCTTTTCCAGAGGTTTCAACTGCATCTGGAGTAAGGATTTTAATGTCAAGCTTGTATCACCATGCCAAGAATGAACATTCATCCTCAAGTGCAGCTAATACTGTTCTCCAGGGACCAAGTTTGTAACTCATTGTTCTTGTCTGTGCTGTATCCTATTACTTTCACATATACACTGTAAAACTGTCTGCCTTCATAGGACTTGATGCTTTAAAAAGGTCTTACTGTAAGGACTTGTTTTCCGAAGGTTTGAAGGAATTTCTCGTTATTCTTAGATTTTAATTTCTTTATTATACGTAATAAAATAATAATAATAATATAATTAAGTATATTACTTAATTTATTATATATCGGGGCACAATGGTTTGAGGATATCGTATCTTATCTTTAGTCGGTTTATTTCATTATAAGAAATGATAAGACTAAATTAAAAAGAAGAAATATACAATTATAGATGCAAAACAAATGAATTATAATAATATTAATTATTTATTTTTATTTGAGTCGTTTTTGTTTTCATATTTATTAATGTATGTGCAGTTTGTGTTTTAAGAAATCCTTATTCAAATCACCATTACATAGTGCACATTGTCAGCGTAGCATGTTTCAGATTAAGGAATATGTCACTTGCCCAGACTGTCATGTTAATACTTAGACACACGTCCTCTGGAAGAAGTTAGAACACGAAGCTACTCTCTTCACAAACGCTTCACGAGCTCAGATTTATGTTGTGCATGTCACGAGTCACTCGCACGGCATTGTGAAACAAACCGTCACTGACATTAGCTGTCCAGTGGAGGACACGCAGCACGGATGCAGATGTCAGTGTCGTCTCTTCATAGCGTACAGTACGTGTCGTGTGCCCTCTAGTCACTGACTAGCAGAACTGCTGCAGGCGTCTTCCTGCAGGCAGTTCCTCTGAGCGCTGACTGACGGCGTCACATTCCTGACAGAGAGGTGACATTGACACAACACTGGGTCAACATTTATGTGATGCCATGACCTTTGATTTGTGGCATGACCTTTCATTCTTACCCCCCCCCCCTCCCCCACCCTTCCACCCCCCACAGCTGTTCCATAAAGCAAAACATACGAGCAGAGAGAGAGAAGGACAGAGAGAGAGAGAGAGTAGAGAGGCAGAGCCAACGTGCCGTGACTCTGGAACTTCAACCAGAATACATGTATTTGAGGGATTTGCACAGTTGTGTTATTTCTATTATGTTCATATTAAAACACTTATAAAAAAAACACTGTTTATTTAACTTACATTTTGGCCAAAATCTAAAATATCTGTGACTTTCTCTATTCCTTGTTGAAAAGTTCACATTTCTGATCATCTGACCCAACAATATACACTGTGGTTATATGTCCGGTCAGGTCACAGACACTCCTGCCAGACCACACGTCGCACAGGTTTAAGCACACACTTAAATAGGGTGTTTACTGTTTGCCACCGGTTGGACTTCCTCCTGCTGCCCGGTGCTAACCCCACTCACCCCTCACCTCTTGCAAAAAAAAAAAAAACAAACAAACAAACAAACAAACAAACTCAGAATGTATCTTTCTGTTTGATCATGATGCACTTAAAAAAATATTTCTAATTTTTACAAATTTTAATTGATTGGAATTCTGTTCCTTCCAGACCCAGTTTGGATAAACTATATATAATCTATACTATATAGATATATATATAATTCCATTGCATGTCTTTTTTTTTTTTCAACATCAGTTTCTGCTGTTATGCATGTTTTGGCAGCTCTATGTTTGAATACTATGTACTTATGTCAGTCATTTACCATGACAACCTGATCAACTCTTCAACATTGCTACAGTAACAAGGGGTGTATATAGCCCCTGTTGGTATGTGTATACATTCCAACAGGACACAACCCCCCCTCAGCTACATGTCACCTTACTGAATATATAATAGTGTGATGAAAGGTGTGATTTCTTCTTCACACATGGGAAGCCATAATGCATGTACACATGTACTTAATGTCTAGCAAGCGAAACTTTATTTATATAGCACATTTCATTCCAGGTGGATAGTGTAAAGATAAAACATTAGGCACAAATTAAAAACACATAAATGATACATATGAATAAGAGAATAAAATAATTAGGACCAACAACTGATCAGTAAAAAGGTGTGTAAAATAAAACTATTGAAAAAATAGGAATAAAATGTGATTAAAAAGAATAATAAACAGTCCAATAAAGATAAAACCAATAAAAAGGAATAAAAGTAAAATAAAATGGTACATTAAGGCCAGCAAAGCAGACTACTGGAAAGCACGGCTCCAAAGGAATGTTTCCAGTTTAGAATTGAAACACAATAGTGTAGGAGCATCTCTAATATGATCAGGCAGCATGTTCCGGCGGCTCGGAGCATAAAAGCTGACGAAAGTTTCGCCAGTTTTTGTGGAGACCCGGGGAATAACCAGACGGCCTGTTCCAGCTGAACCTGAGGTGTCTAGCTGGCTCATAGCTCACAAGCAGGTTAGAAAGATACTGAGGTGCAAGACCATGTGTGGCCTTAAAAACAAGCATTAGAGCTTTAAAATAAATGATTAAATTTACTGGAACTTCAGCACAGGATGATTAGCTCTCATCAGTATCTCTCATTGTCCCCTTTTTAATCCCAGAACTTCTGGTCGTTCATTATTTATTAGTTGTCTTTTTATCTTGTTGTTAAATACATTTCCTCATATAGGCGATCAGTCGACGGTGCATTTGCTCACAATCCATTTCAGTTAATAACTAGCTTTACTGCCTTTGGTTTCATTGTGTAATGTCAGATCATTGTACTGTATCTTTAACAGAAGGTCACTATAACATTGATATTTAAAGGATACATATCGTGTGTCACCTTCAGAAAAAACCTGGCTCGGCACCACAGTGCACCTGTCGTATCGGCACCTTCGCCACGTATGTGTGCGTATACATAGTGTGTGTGAGTGTGTGGTGTTGATTATATGCAGAACCTCCGGCACCGGAGAGAGGAAGGCGTCAGAGAAGGAGCAGGACAAGTTATCAGTGTCGCAGAAAGACAGCGTGACAACAGATGGATTGCAGAACAATAAAAATGAGTGACCAGTTTGAGTGGTGTGTGTGTGTGTGTGTGTGTGTGTGTGTGTGTGTGTGTCACAGCAGAGCTATGTGGTGCTCTACATGCTGCATGCCATCTACATTCCACAGCTTGTATTCATTACCACAGACACAAGGAGCCCTTTTCACTATGACACACACACCACCACACACACACACACACACACACACACACACACACACACACACACACACACACACACACACACAGTACAGTGAATGTATGCATATTGACTGATACTTTGACTCATGATAGAACCGTACACTCGCCCAAACACACACCCCAGGCTAATTAAACTGATTTCACACACTCAGTAATACCAGTTAATTATACACAAACAATGATGCATGATGCAAGCAGCTCACATCACCAAACATCCAGCAAATTCTCATAATGTGTTGTAAAGGACAACACCTGCTCTAACGAACCCCCCTGACAGAATAATAAGACAAAGAGAGAGGGGGGGGGTGTGTGTCTACATGGCATGGGCTGGACGATGGCGCCCGACCACCATCTCCTCCACATCAAAAATGACAAAATCCTCCTCTGCCCCGATCACTCAGCACTGGTCTCCCCCTTCCACTCATCTACTCCTATCCATTCTTCACCCCTCCCTCCCCCTCCTGTCTGCGGAATTACCCCCTAATGCCTAACCTAAACAGAGGCTTAGTGGCTGGCGACTGTGGACGGGGGCGTGGGGCTTAGCTGGGGCCGAATCTGATGCCTTTGGAATGGGATGAGAGATGCCCAGCACCAGGACTGGTTCAGGGGACTGTGGAGCTGTTTGTAATGCCAGGGGCTGTGTGGCAAAGGCAGAGGCCTACTGGCAGATTAATCAGAGTGAAGCCGGCATGGCTGGACACACAGACCAGACTGAAGATTTTAGATATATAATGTCTTTTGATCTAGATCGATATACCTCATCCTGTTGATCTGAACGACGTCTACCCGGTCAATGAGAAGAAGTTCTAAGCAGTGACAACCACCGTGGCTAAACAGACAGAGTTTGGTGTTTTTATTTTATAGTTTATTCAAGTACAAGTGTGATTCTGTGATTAAAACTAGTACATAAGCAAGACGCTCTATCACAGAAAATAAATGTTAGTTTAGGCTACTCTTTAAGAAACTACATACACAGTATACCTGTGGGCAACACTAAAATTCAGGTTAATGCAATATAAAAAAAAATAAACTAAATATCCAACAGCTATACAACAACTATACTTGCCAAAAATGACGACGCTAATGTTTAGCAGACAAAGTTTGCCATGTTTGCCTAGTTTAGCAAGTTAGCCTTCTAATACTCAATAATTCAATTTCACCCAGAAACAACAAAGCCAACCTGGTGGTGGTGGCGCTTGAGGATCGCCAGAGTCACGAGCACATATCCTCTGAGGAGCGTGAATATAGGTACAAACTGTCACAGCAATCCGTCCACTAGCTGTTGAGATGGTTCCATCTGGACCAAAGCGGTGGACTGACTGATGACAGACTGACATTGCTGTCCCTATAGGACCAGGTGTATTTTTTAAAAACACTTTACAGAAGTTCCACATGAGGAAATATATACATACAGTATACTGTGCATTAATGAGTGACATCCAAATATCCTATACATCTCAAATGAGTACTAAAACTCTGAAAGTCAGGGTATGAGATAAACATAATAATAATAATAATAATAATAATAATAATGTACAAGGGTAAAATGTGTAACAAAGTACGCTGAGTTTAGGCGTTCATTCAGGACCGTTAATACAATGTGAACAACAGTCATGAATGAATCATTAATCCTTCTTTCGTGTTTGTCAGAATACCCTTCATGTGGCTGTATTAAATACTGTATTAAATATCTGAGGCTGAAGGAAGAGCACACACTCTTCTTGTCTTGACAGATTCTCTGTGCTGCTGTGGTGATGCTGCTGTAATTCTGCCAAGTCTAGCACACTGTGTACTTTACTATAATGGCTGGTCTGGCATCAGATCCAACATTCACACTTTGGCACGCTGTACAAAGAAGATTCATGCCCGCGCTGGCTTTTATTAACGTTAATAGAAATAGCTCTCCCCCCGGTGTAACGTCAGGATCAGCACATCTTAGCCTGGAAATAGGATGGATGACCCGCGTGGTCATTACTTCAGGTCTATGGTTTTTTAGTCTCGACAGGGAGGCCTAATATGTATGATAACTTTTTGGAAGTTTATCTCTTTCAAGAGTTTGGTTTGTGTTTGGAATCTAAACCGGTCAAGTATATTATATTTTATTATAATAAATGTACTAACATTATGGTCTCACTCATTAGTGAATCCCCTAATAAATTATCTAAATAAATTTAATCATTCATTAAATAGAATATAGGAGTTTAATCAATATTATATTAAAGGTTCCCTAGGAAGTTTGCTAGCAAACAAACAAACAAAAGATATTTTGTGTACATTTGAGATCTAACAAATATGTTGATTACATTTCCTTCTTCATGAAACATTTGCAAAACCATTTTTGTAACACTTTAATTCTGCCTTGTCTACTTGGTTAGTTACTAGCAGTCATCCTCCTCTGTGCCTTTGTTAGAGCATTGCTCTCTTTATTGGGACATTAGCACCACCAGAATAGCTTTACAACTGGCATCAGCATACGAACTGCACCACATTTGGGCCTCGGGCGGATGGATGTGCGTCCGTATCAAACAAACAAACCTGGGAGCCGCTTGTAAAAACATTGCTCCATACTGCCAGTAGTGGTCAAAAACTCCACAGGGGACCTTTAAGTATGACAGCAACCAATCTAAATATTACAAAACATCGGGCTGCGGAAAAGTGACTTAGGCGTTTATCCAAAGAAGCCTGTTACCAGGGTGACATGATGGCCGAGGGGTTAGATCGCGTACCGTGTGGGTACAGATTGAGCGGCGAGTCCCCAGGTTGACTCCTGGCTGACCGGACTCTTTTGCTACATATCATTCCCCTCCTCTCCATCCAATCTCCACTGACCTATCAAATAAAAGGCACAAAAATGCCCAAAAGAAAGACGCCTGTTGCTCTTGAAAGGACTAACAAACAACAATTATCATTAATACAGACCAACCAACCTTTTAGGAAAGGTGTCCACCATTGTAGAGTCAAATATCTTGAGGCCGTTGGTGTTAAAATTACATTCTCTTTGGACATTACATACTTTTCAACTTTTATAGGATGTTGAGAACAGAGATGTTTGTAAATTATTTACTTTTCTCAGATGACCAGAGCAACTTTCTCCAGTTCCTTAGTTACTGAAGAACACCTTACGAACTGAACAAATTGCCAGTTTGGGGGTTTCAAGTTGTGCTTTTTCATTTAAAAATATGAAAGTGACTGAGCGACGCCTCTGGTAGACTCCATGTTGGTAAAATGCGTCCTTACCTGCCTCTCCAGGGAATGACGAGATCAGGGTTGATCTTGCGAAAGAAGTATTCTCCTCCAGGCTGCCGTCCATTGAAGCTTCGGATAGGTGTGTCGTTATAGTCACTAGACTCCTCCTTCAACAGAGGTTCCCCTGGGTTTGGCCTCGTCATGCCGATGTACTTGGGCAGGAAGTCAATGAACGCCTGGAAATTCAAGGTTCGGAAATCAGTGAAATCATAAAACACAAATGGATTCTATGTGAATCTGGATAACTGTCAAACCCAGCTTCACCTTTCGAACCCAGTTTGGCATGATGTGTGTGCTGGGCGTCCGGTGGTGCAGGTTGAGGACGACCACGCTCAGGATGACAGAGAAGGTGACCAGGATCATGGTGAACATGACGTAGTTGACGATAATTGGGATGCCGAGGGAAGTCTCCGGGACCTTGTCAGCCAGCAGCAGCATGAAGACGGTCAGAGCGATGAGGACAGAAATGGAGAGAGTCATCTTCTCTCCTGCAGATGACAGGGACGGCTTGGAGAATTAGTTATGACAGCGCAGTATTACTCTGTTAGTTTCTGTCTCATGTTGACAAGGGCAGACTTTGAGACATGGCTGCATTTGACCATTGTGGAGAAACACTCAACTGGGAAAGATCACATGAAATCAAGAAATCAAGGTTATGTGCCCTAAACATTCTGCACTCTCAGTTTGTTCGCCTTCTCTTGAATCTATATTTTCCACTGTGTCAGTGAAACATATGAAATCCGACCACACAAGGCCAAAGATTGACAAAGTACATCCCTGGGCAAGGTCACGTCCCGTCAATCCTTAATGCATCAACAAATCGTCCATTCTTTCAAAGGTTGCCCTGCCTCATGACATATTAGACAACATGCTTCTTGTCATGACATGAGACGGTGTATCAAAGAGTAGCCTCACTTCCTATAACCCCCTCCTGACAGTGATGTGCAGTCGCGATGTCAAAACATGTTGGATGTGCTGACCTGCTCCAGGAGGCAGGTAGAAGACAAATATGGCCAACACGCTGGTGAGGATGCAGGGCACGATGATGTTGATGATGTAGAAAAGAGGCTTCCTCTCTATGATGAGATAGAAAGTGATGTCCTCGTACAGGTCGTCCTTAACGTGCTTCCTCGAGGGTTTGTGACAGATGGCCCATTCTCCATTTTCTGCGGAGAGAAGGCGAAGGTGGCGATGAGAGGAAAAATAAAATCCCTACACATTAGTTAGATGTTCTGCAGCCTCGTATAAACCTCCCGTTAAGATGCAGTACATACTCCACAAATTGTTATCTACCACTTGGAATCAGTTAGCCCTGGCAGCTAAAATTAGAAGACGATATACTGTACGAACGATGAGTTATTGAGCTTTCATAGGAGAAAAGTCTATGAGTGAAGTGACCAAAGTTACTGTAGGCACCAACCGGTGAAAGCATTGTCATCTATAACAATCTCTTGGATCTCTTTGCCGCCATCGTCCAGGAAGTACTGCAGGTCCACCTCAGAGGCGTCATAGTTGTACGAGCGGAAAACCATGCTGCAGTTCTGCCAGTCAAACGGGAAGTACGCCACCTGCGGATTGATGGATGTAAGTCCATAAAAACAGGAGAATAACGTAAAACAGCAGGGTAGTGCCTATCAGCCATAGTGTCCTCTCTAGGATCCCAACACCGCATGGAGACAAATGAATAACAGGATGATGCAAGTTTCGGCGGTGTACCGGTGCCCATGTGGTTTGGCAGTACCTCTATAGAGCAGGAGCTGCGGTAGATGGCAGGGGGAAGCCAGTTGACGGTCCCATCACTGTAAACCAAGACGTTGACGTACAAGGCCACGTCAAACTGACCGTCGTTACTGCGGGGAGAAAAAGAGAAAGACAAATGTGACGCTCATATGTCAGAGATAATATCCCATGACATTTCATGCCGATACATCTCCGAGACATGTTATTGTAGCTTACACGCTACTTTAGGTGTGTTTTGCAGTCAGTCTTTGCGCAACCTTGACGAGTGATATGTCGTTTGAAAGCTCCAGGAAAGACAGGAAAGTTGGGGGGGGTGGGGGGGTTGACATGCAGCAAAGGGCCCAGGCTGGATTCAAACGTGGGCCACTGCGGGTAGGACTGGGCCTAAGTGGTATGTGCCCTGCGCAGCCATTTTAAAGTGAAACATGTTCATCAGCTTTGTCACATCGGAAGATCCTCTGTTAGTTACTATATGACGGATGATGCGGAGACTGTGCGACTGTAGATGGATGCTTACTTGTTTATGAGGTAGATGTCGGGACGCCACACCTTGTTGGGAGGAATCCTCAAAACATTGATGTTGTCATATTCCTCCGGGGTCCATGACAACCTGTAGTCTGTCCATTCCTGGGATGGAAGGAAGGAAAGAAGGAAGAAGAAAAGGGAAAAAGAAAGGACGTGACTAACTGGCATAGCATAGCAGACAAAAAGTGTAATCATTAGTGCGGTGCCCTGACGTCTTTGTCATTTACATCCTTGTTTCTCCTGCCTTTGATAAGGCACTGATTACGACAGAGACTCACACACCGCTGTCACAAACACTCAGGCCGTCCTGAATCCTAATTAGCGAGAGCGAGGGACAGAAATGAAAGAGTGAGTCGGAGAACGAGAGCGATAACGCAAGAAATAATTTGTGGTTATAGAAAGTGGCAAGTCCATTTGAGGGAGGAGGGGACGGAGCAGGGTTACAGAGGAGACAGAGCAGCAGAGCGTGGCGCGGTGATGAAGATGAATGTTTTCATGCTCATACCAGATTCATGAACACGTTGGTTGTCATCTCACCATTCTTCTCGTTCTGTAGCGGGATAGAGACACAGAGAGAGAGAGACAGACAATCATTGGTGATGCCACTGTATCTTGTGGTGCATGACAGTGCTGTTACTTCCAGTCCTGCTCTGTAGAAACTAATTGGGTATGGAAGAATGGATGACGCTGCAGGAGCCAGAAGTTTTGTGTGTGTGTGTGTGTGTGTGTGTGTGTGTGGCATAGCACTGCATTTTCATAAGTTAACTTCATAGAACAATAGATGGTTTTCAAAATAATTCAGAATGGTGAATGCACGGGTGTTTGCGTTTACCAGGCTGACGAGCTGAGAAAGGGTCATCCCAACTCGCACCATCACCTTCTCCTCCCAGTAACGAGCTGGTCGGACTTTCATGTTGTAGTTCTGAAATAGCTTCTGATGCAGCCTCCGCTCTGTTTCTGAGGCTCCTGGATGAAAGAAGGAGGTGACTCATATTTATTTGTACTTTCCATCCATCCAATGAAAATGCTCTAACCAAACAATGACCGACTTCAGAATAAATCAGATTCAATCTTACAAAAAAAAAAAAAAAGCACTTTGATGCTTTCACAGTATTAATATGGAACCTAGACCTGCTTTATAATCAAACAGCACATGGAAGTCTCACTTTATACAATATAAGACCTTTAAGCCACTGACACCCAGACCACAGCATGTTTGTTCAATGCCGATCAGTGAGTCAGGCCTGCATTGGTTAGGGGTTCAATTCCCTCTGGGATGACCCATGCTAAAAATATACTATATGCTCATGTATACTCAGTATGGATGGACTGGTATGGGTGTTTTCTGATTCACATTCCAATCAAGGAAATAATATATATATATATATATATATATATACACACATCGCTATTCTCCGATCTGAAAATAAATATTGAAACCATGTGGCAGAGCAGGAGGAATCATTACTGAAACAAAAATTGGTTTTTATTTATTGCCTATAATTCAGTCCGGGGAGAGGTGGACATTAAGTTTGAAGTGCTATCATTTAGCAGAATTACACACTCTGTATTTCCTGCTGATGATGGACTGACTTCCATTCCAAATATGCGACTAAACAACGTGTGGGAAAGACAGAGAAGGACAGACAGGACATGCAAAAGAAGCAGGGCAGGTGCTGGTGGTGTACGATGGGTAGCAAAGGTGACTGAGCTAATGTAATTGATATGCAGCAGGGGAATGGGATCAAAGGGATGTCTGGGATACCAGCTCCATCAGGGACAAAAATAAACTCTGATTAACAAACAATGATGTGTTAATATGATTCATTATATGTTCCAGAGCAGCTTTTTTGCTATTCAAGCAGAACAACATAAACATCTTTTATAGGACAGAGAATAAGGACTTCTCTCCACTGGGGTTTCCCCCCCTGCTTCTTCCCTTTGTCCTCTTTACATTGGCCCTTCTCTTTGGGGAAAACAGATGCAGAATCACCCTCGTCGTAGGACTTACGGCGGGACACGAACAATCCATCACAACCCCTGTGGAGGTCACCAGCCGGTGCAGGGAAGCTTTTTGGCTTTCCACTCCCACTGTGTGGTCAGAGGGTCAAAGTCAAAGCCCTTCAGCTGAGCCCAGATAAGAACTAGTCATTGCAAATCGATTCTAATTATGATTTTATCCAAAGAAACAGAGGAAGTGGAATCAATACCAATTTAAGTGAACTGACAGGACGCAGAGGGATGCGAGATGCTCGTCTGTTATCTGATTGCAGTGCGACTATATTCCGAAGCGCAGAAATGCCTGAATTTCGAAGTGCGTGCTTCCAAAATGGCGGTGGAGAGGATCCAGTTCTGAGCAGCTCCACAGGAAATAGGTGGTAGTGTCAGGACAGGCCGAGGAATGGGAACACTGCACCGCAGGTCGCCAGCAACCACAGGGCAACTGTTTGTTTTCCGAGTACAATATGGGGTCAAGGGTCAAAGTCAAAGGCAGTCAAACACTTTTGTTTGTCGCTCTCTTCACCTCTTTCCATCTCTCCTTCTCACTGTGCCATTCAACTTCTTAATTTAAAAAGGCATTGGAGTGATATATCTGTTTGTTTGGAGTTTAAAAAAATAAAAAATAAAAAATCTGACTTGATCAAAACTTAAGCTTCAAATTAGAAAATCAATATTGTGAGTTTAAATTGAACTCCTGCAGGAAATAACAATACGCTCTGGAAATCATTCGAATGTCCTTACCAGTGAATGCGAGGCAAAGGCTGCCGCACACGACGAGAAGCGTGTTCATTCGCAGGTTCACGTTGAGCTTCATCTTCATTTGTCCCATCGTGGCAGTCATGACATCTTCTTACACTTCAACGTGCCAATCAAAGGCCCCAGTCTCCGCTACGGCCAGACACTCTGAACCCCCCCGGCACCTCCACCCGGAACCTACTGTACATGGATGAAGGTCTCCCAGGCAGACGAATGAAACACCTCCGGTCGGATTTACTGCAAGATTGCACCTTCAGCAGCGCGCACGTCTCTCTCTCTCCCGTCTCCTCTTCTCCTTTGTGGAACCATGGCTCCATGGGTGAAACCACGGCCTGATTGGGTGCGCGTGCTGGGAGTGACGAGAGGGCGGAATGTGTTTGTACTGGGAAGCCTGTGGGGCAGGCACCTGTTGGTGCTCGCCAATCTGAGGTTAGGACTGTGGGTGGGAGAAAGAGGAAGTGGAGGGGCTGGGATGGGGTAAAGGAATGGCAGTGGGTTACAGGTTATGACAATGGAGATATTTTTGGGGGAGAGAACAAGCGGGCGGGGTGGAGCGTGGAGCTGATTGGGGTGGGGTGGGGGGTGGGGGGTGAGAATTTCTCTTTGGACAAAGAGGTGGCATCTCTTGCTCTTTTCACTTCTAATGTCTTCTTCATCCTGTAATTGACCTCTCCCCCTGTTAGTCTTTCCTGTTGAATCAAATCTCTCCCAAATGGTATTTAGGTCGTTGGCATTTGGTTTTATTGGTGGGGGGGATTTGATTGGGGGGGGGTGGGGTGGGGGGTGGGGGGTGAGAATTTCTCTTTGGACAAAGAGGTGGCATCTCTTGCTCTTTTCACTTCTAATGTCTTCTTCATCCTGTAATTGACCTCTCCCCCTGTTAGTCTTTCCTGTTGAATCAAATCTCTCCCAAATGGTATTTAGGTCGTTGGCATTTGGTTTTATTAGAAAATAATCACAATATTTATCTAATTTAAGAGAAATGACACTTAATGTTAATGTATGACTTATTGGTCATTAGTTCACAGGAGGAACTTGTCATCAATTGTCCAATTTTAAGTCCTTTTTTACAGCTGTAAGAACAGTTGTAACATTCCCAAACTTCCCGACTGGTGCCTTCCAGTGACGGAATCAAAAATGACACTGTGGCAGACAATAACACAGGCACAGGGAAGGCGTGGGATGGGGTGAAGGAACGGCCATGATTGTCACAATGCCCCATGGATGTGATCAGGTTGTCTTTAACTGGGATCATTTTTTCTACAAACACTAAAAATTAGGTGGCTTTAATCACATTAAATAAAAAGGAATTCTGTGCTGGAGCAAATTGATTATCAGTTGTGAGATAGTACCTGGTGTTACCTTTATATAGAGCACCTGTAAAACGAGCCATTCTTAAAAGTGTAAGTAAGAGCAGCCCTGGCATTATGTTAGTGATGTCAGAGCGGTCGTGACAGTGGAGAGAGATAAAGAGCCGAAAGTCAGCAGAGCAACGCCGACATGATTTGACTTGATAAGTCTCTAACCCATTACAAGCTAAAGTATAGGTGGGAATTAAAGTGAGACACACTGAAAGACTCTCCAGGGAGATGTGCACTGGATGAACTTGCCGAAAAACAAGTTACCAAATTCCTTGGCAGGAGAAGGCGAGGTGTCGTCAGTGGTGATGGTGGGCTCTTTGAGCGGAGACAGAGCATCTCACAGTCTTGCTGATACTGAGCTTGAAGTCAGTTTGAGGCAAGAATAGACTGTCGAAAAGGATGTAAAAATAGAGATGGATGTTGTTGCCATAGAAATGGTGCGGCAAAGTTCTGAGACGTGAAGACGACAAGCGCTGTGATCGATGAGGTGAAGGCCCTTGGGATGAACTCCGGGTCCCGCTGCTTCTTGAAACCTTCATGTTGATTTAAATGAAGTTGATGTCTGTATTTCAAGGGTCATAAAGTTATTTTGTCTGTTACACAAGATAAGAAAATATCTACTTGGCCCTGCCTCTACTTCCTATTACTTCCTTTTTCTCCCCGCTCGCTCTCATCCTGGTCAGGGTCTCCTGTGCAAAAACACAAACAGGCCATAAATCAGCGCCACGTTGAGAGTTGAGAGAAGGAGAATGTTTCCGACTTGCCCTCCTGCATACCGCCACTCCCAGTATAAATACATCAGTCAGAATGGCCCCTTTGTGTTTTTGTGCATCTGTCGAGCAGGCCCCGTCTTCTCGATGCGACAGTTTCATGCAAGGTCAGAGAGTGAGATAGTAAGCCGAGGATAGAGATGAGTGTGATTCTAACAGTAGTGTGGCAATAACGCTGCAGCCAGGTCTGGAATATTGAAGCCATATCAGCACTGTTGCCACAATTAGCCGTTGAGACTGACTGCAGACTTTCAGCCTTCAAACGCCTCAGCTGATGCATGTATGCATGCATGAGTGCACTCACACAGAGAAATATCAGGGAAGCCCATGCAGAAAACACTGCCAGTGTGTGTGTGTGTGTGTGTGTGTGTGTGTGCGAGGATGGTTATTAATAGCAGAGCGGGCAGGAGATGGAGTGAGGGTCGCAGCTCTCACGGCAGCATTCTGACAACAGATGGAGCCTTTAATATGCTCCCCTCAGATCTTTATTTAAAAAAACAACAACAAAACACGAGAATGAAAGCACAAGATTAAAAAAGCAGGTGTGTGTTTGTGTCATGTGAGAGAAACCAAAATGACATGCTGTGTGTGTGTGTGTGTGGCCGCAAGAAAGCAAAACCCTGAAAGGCACGGGTCTTCTATATGATGGGGAATTCCACAGGCTATTGGCGCAGCTGGTGAAATGAGTGGGCATGTCGCTCCACACACATACACCCGTGCTGGAAATACAAAGAGGATTACTACGGTTGCAAAAATATCCACCGAGCCATGTGCCACACTCCGGCACATTCTGACACCGGGAAATGAAAGGCATACAGCTCCCTCATTCTGCTTTGCCTTGGTGTTTATCTGTTAGCACCACATATGAATATCAGACGCTGGATCCACACCCTTCAGATCTACTGTAACTACAAAAAAAAAAAAAAAAAAAAACACACCTGTAGTTGGGATAAATGTAGTTTTACACGTAAGACATGCTACAACATTGGCTTGGTAGTTATGTATCATGCAATAATCAATGCCATTGCATGTGTAATACAGTTTAAATGATCTATGGCAACAATACTGAGGCTGGGATGTTCGTGAGCACTGTTGCTCATTCAGCCAAGAAACCTCAAGATGTCCATTCATTTGCATTGCCTTGCACATTGAGGTCGAGCGCAGGCAAAACCCTGCAGGAATTCATGACAGCGCACTATCTGACAAACGTAAACTGCTCAAACAACATGCCATCCCATAAAAGTATAGATAGAATACAGATATATGCTCTTTCGCTCAAGTGTAACGCATAAAACATTTGACCCGGTACATCAAATTGTGTCAGGTTTGGTCTTGAGGCAGTGGTGCAGCTGCAAGGGTCAAGACATGGTAGCAAAGGACTTGCGTTTCGCTGAGAAGTACATGGTGAAAATCTCAGTCTTTATTTTCCATATGGCCAAAGATTAAAGTGTTGTGTGAGAAATTATAGTTTGACACGACTATGGAACATGTCAACATGTATTTTCATCTGCACTGTCTACATTCAAACGGATAGGAGAAACATGTTGAGGTCATATTGGGTTTGCCGTTGCAAGAAAAGTAAATAGAAACTAAACTGGCTGTGTAAAAAAAAATGCGAGGTGCCGTGGGGACAGCGGGCCCATGGTGAACTACACACGGATAATCATTTGGCACTTTAATACAGCGATTTCTTCTCCCCCGTATTTTAAAAAAAAAGGTGGTACATCAGGAAGAAGAAGGTTCAAGAAACGCAAAAGTTCCAACGCCTCAGGGGGACTTGAAGGGGTCGGTGGGAGTGTGGTTGAAGCTGGCATCGGCGAAGATGGCTAAGGTTCCCACGGTGGTGAAGACGACGAAGATCCAGAGGAACATGCGGTCCACCACCATAGCCACGTACTGCCAGTCCTCTCTCAGCTGGACGAGGTGAGCAGGATAAGGAGGACAATGGGGAGAAGGGAGGGGACAGATGGTAGAGACGGTGATGCAAAGATGGATGGATGGAAGGAAGGAAGGAAGGAAGGAGAAAATCAAAACAGAATCAGTGCAAGAGAAAGAAGAGAGGAGACGAAAAATAACGGACAGACTTACAGCTTCATAGTCCTTCTCAGCCTGCAGAGCCTCTGCGATATAAGTGATGGCGTCTATGGCCGACTTCAGCTCTTCAGGTAACGATAGGTAGCTGCTGGGGCCGTCGATAAATTTCCTCAGGTCCGTACACATGCCCTCTGGCTGAAACCTGCACATCACAAAACACACACACATTATCAAAAGGACAGTATTTTCAGTCCACATAAAGTGTCAACACCCAAACTGGACAAATTTTGCACACGGGCCTGTGGAATGTAGCAACGTGCGAGCAGATGTCAGTGCACGCTAATTAAAAGCTGTAAAATAGTGAAGCATTTATGAGCGCGGCTGCACGTCTCCTTTGCACTCTGCTGTCATTCAGAGAGGAATAAAGAGAAGGTCAGAGGAGCTCCCCGGGCTCACGCTGCCAGTGTGGGAGTCACCGCTCTGCATATGCTGACTGGACTGTTCTGCCTGAGAAACCCTGTGTGCGTGTTTGTGTGTGTGTGTGTGTGTGTGTGAGAATATATGTGTCCACGTTTCTGTGTTTGCTTGTTGCCTTCAGTTACCAACCGTCAGTTGCTATGGGGTCCCAGGAGTTGCCGGGGGAGGCTCGGAGAAAGCTGCTCTTGGTGTGGGAGCAGCTTTATCATTTGTCTGTGTAAAGGTGTAATTTTTCCTTTCTCACATCCAGTTTCATTCTGTATGCATCTTCACGTATTCACAAATGTGAGCCTCCTGGTATAACTACAAACCCTCACTTGCAACACTGTGTGAGGTAGAGCGGGTCATCCACTAATGAGAAGGTCGGTGGTTTGATCCCCGGCTCCTCCAGGACCGAATGTCGAAGTATTCTTGGGCAAGATACTGAACCCCACATTTCCCCTGATGGCTGTTCCATCAGTGTATGAGTGTGATGTATGAATGTGAGTGAATGTGGTAAGTATTGTAAAGTGCTACGAGTGGTCAGTAAGACTAAAAAAAAGTGCAAGTCCATTTACCATTTAAAAAGGTAAATGCTGAAATATACTGTAGTTTAACAGTGGTACAATTTGAGAAGAGTCATAAAGTCACATTACAGTTCAATTATGAACAGATATCTGGCTGCATACATTTATTGAACCATGTTTGCTAGCATTAGCATAGCCACATTAACTACTGGTCATACCAGACCAAGAAAGGCTACAGCAGCGAAACCCCTGAATGTAATGAATTGAGGAAGGGACTATTTGCTTTGTAAGTGTCACTTTAACACACAGCTACTGAAGAAACTCAAAGCATTACCCATCAACAAAGTCTGCTCTGATTTCCCCTATATAGTACAGTGAGTCCTTGAATAACACATGGATTTCCATTGGCTGCTTCCAGTACAGAGAGTTACCCAGCGGTCTAATACTCCTATAACCTTAAGCAATAAAAGCACGTCTCTCTCAGTGGGACATCACAGCTAAGATGCTTGGTTGGGAAATGACATTGTCTCCAAATTTGAAGGATAATTCTAGTTTATTACAACATGGGTAATCATTTGAGATCTTGGTTGTCATTTCTGTTGGTTATGATATATATGGTTATGGTTATCTAGCTATATGGTTATCACCTGAGATCTGGAAGAAACACAAGCAGTCAGATCACACAGGCACACGACAGATTAGCCAGATGATCTAAACGGCATTACCTGGAGGTCAAACATCTGGTGTCTGTAATAACCCATAACTGTACAGAAGAACTCTGTGCACACAACTATGGCAAGTACAGAAAATCATAGTTACAGTTTTTCTTTTTGTGCTGGAAGACCTGGGCGTTTGTTTAAACCTGACTGATTGTCTGAATCCTTGTATCTCCAGGATTGTCAGACCTCTTTTTATTGATGTCACTATATTCCACATGTAACTATAAACACAAAGGACTGAGGGTGAACGCTAAGAAAACAAGAGAATAATGAGCAAATGAGCAAGAAATACACAAACACAGTCACACAGGCTCAAAAAATACATTTTCAGCCACGATGCATTGCCTCTTAAGCGACAGGAGATAACATGTATATATTTTGCATTTTGAGTGGCAATACCCATTAACAAAGTCTGCTCATCTCCAGTTGGTCCTCATGACCTTGTCCAAACCAACATAAATTTACATTATCCTCTTTGCAGCACAGCTGGACTCTGTCTTTTCCAGACATCTGTTTACTTATGAAACACCTCAAATATTAAACACCTCTTCCACAAACAGTTTTAGAGCCTGAAAAAAAAGAAAAAAAAAAGAAAAAAAAAAAAATCTATTAAAATGAGTTGTAGGTCAGGCAGCTCGACACCAGAGGGCAGTATGGCACCACGTCTATAAGGAAACATGTAGAGTAACCCAGCAGGCACGGCACAGCGGAGAGCTGCTTGGTATTCAACGCAGGAATATGGGGGTTTACAATGCAGCGCTGCCACCGCTGCTGCTCCTGTGAGTGTGGCAGGTGAGGAGGCTGTGACCTGAAAGAGGTGGAGCCTCGTCAGATTGAGAGAGCGAGGTAAGTGGGGGGGGGGGGGGGGGCAATAATTTGGCCTCTTAACCCCTCCTCCCTTTCCCCTCCTACGTGGCTCAAAGTAGCACTTCATCAGCGAGAAGTAAATGACTATTCAGGAGACTAATTCAACTAAAACTGGCTGCATCTGGTGCCAAGACATGCACTAAACCCAATTAAGAAGGGGTGTGTGTGTGTGGACTCAAGAGAGATAGTGCTGTCTCATCAAACTGCTCTAATAGAGCCCCCCCCCCCCATTCCACCGTCACCCGTTCTTTCACCTAGACACGCAGCGTCCTGCTCTAATGTGTCAGAGTCGATTTGCGTGGGTCATTATTATTTTAGCAGTGATTCTCTGCCGCCTCCAGTCTTTCCCTCTAGACACATTTCAGTTCTCGCAGGAGGTGAAGGATGAGAGAGGGAGGTACGGCTACAGACTGAGAGGAACATTTTTTGGGGTGTATTAATAGAGCAGCAGGGAGGCAGGCTAGTTAAGGATGTCACATAGGAGCTGGCATCCAGATACTATGAAGTCTACCAAACCAAGGTCACAGATTTCCTGTGTACAAAGTACGAAGACCAGGGTTCGACAGATAGAACAGTTTGTCGCCAATTTGTGTGCCAACATTGGCCCAGATCCAGCTCCTTACTCAACAGCTTCAGGGGCAGCGCTCTGTAAAACCTTTGATGAAACTCATCAGTCTGGGTTTCTCTGGAGGTGTTTGGGAACTATGGTCTTAATGCTCTTTTCACAGGAACTTCCACACAAAGTAACTCTGTTCTGTAGCTCTGTTTTTGCATGATGCACCCACAATTTTGAAATACTGAATAGTGGCTCCACTTTCAGTCTAAACCAGCGGCTCCCAACCGGTGGGTGGTGTTACGAGTGGGTCGACAAATCACTTGCAAAACAGTACAACTCAGGTGAAAAGATGTAATTATAAAAATATACAGTGAAAAAAAAAAAAAAAACTCCTTTCATTGTTTTTGATATGCCAATGATAGGAACTTTTATGTTGTTGGCGGCGGACCACATTGTGTACTTGTTTGCTATCTCTTGTCATATTGCGCGCTCAAAGATCACATCTATTTTTTGAGATTTTTAATTGGGCCATGAGTTGGAAAAGGTTGGGAAGCACTGGTCTACACCAAAGGTCAGAGAGTGAACCAATATATTTAATGTCTCAGACTTGTTCCCTGATCAGTTTTAATTTGCAACTGCTCCAGACATGAGGATTTACTTTATTTGACAGCCTAAATTTTGGCAATAAGAGCAGCATTTACCACAGAATAATAAAAAAGGAAACTGTAATATTTACATACAGGATACATAATATGTGACAGTGACTGCTGACGCCTAAGTGTGTTTGCTCAAGTGTACTTATAGGTGCAGCTTGTAGCAAAGCAATGCAATTAATACTGCCTGAGCACGTCACTTCAGTTTCGCAATCTAGATGACAACTAAGATACAGGTATGGGACGAAAAGGTGTGTAATTGTGTACTAAAAAGAGTTGACTTTCACAGGACAAATGCAAGCTGTGGGGAAAAAACTGAAAGTGCTGGGCAGCTGACTTCAAAGATAACCTGCTCCACAGACTTGAAATTCTATGAATACTAAACATAGTTAGATAAACTATTGGATTTCATTTCAAAGTGCTATCTAACACACTTTGGCAGTTTACTTTTAAAGTGTTTTTAATCACTTCTGCTGCAAGAAGTTATTTCTTTTACATACAACCTGTTGTTAAAGAGTCAGATATGGATTGTGTATTGCAGTGGAAATGGCTTGAATCTCATAAACAAAAACCGTATAGAGGATGAGTGTAAAAATATATTGTACAATATAGTGGAAAGTTCACTTACACAGGCAGAGTGTCAGCGCAGACTCCCTCAAACAACAGTGAAACTCCCTTTTTATACCATTAAAGAGAGCAAAGAAACCCCTGTCCTACTGGTGTAGCTGATAGTAACTCATGACAGATTTATAGCCAATATATAGAAGCTCTCAACCTCACATATATCAGACCGATGGAATACCCCCATGCTGGACAGAACACACTAACACATACCACAAAATATTTGAACATATAATAGATAGTAATAATACAAAACCAATACAAAAACATTATGAAAGTTATAAGCTCATAATAGATATTTCACATTCCTCTATATTCTATAGAATGAATTTCTCGCATGGATAAAAAGATAACTCATAATTACATTATTAAGGTTACTAATGTAAAAATAATGTAGGCTAAAAATATATATAAATATATATAAATAACATACCTACTTGATTTAAGAGCAAGTATAGATAAAGAAATCGGTTAACCTGTAGCTTTCCTCCAGAAATGGAAGTAAGTGAAGCTTTGAAAGTTAAAGCAAACAATTCCTTCAGTTTGATGACTTAGAAAAACCTTGTGTCTGTACAAAGTTAGTGTTGGAACAAACTGTTACTGCACCCTCTGATGCATTATTAGCACAATACTGTACTGCAGGAAGTAGTACTGTATGCTGCTGTCAGAATGGTGAGGAAAAAGTAACAAAGGAAGGCAGACTCGTTGGTCAGAGGTTCAATCTACACATCTGTAGATAATGAGCCAAACCATTAGAGTAAAATAACTGAATGGTGGCTCCAAATGATGAGACCAGCACAGTCTCCAGACTTTAACCCAATCGAGCAGGTTTGGGATGAACTGGACAGAAGGTGCAAGCAAAGCAAACATGTGCAACACATTTGCAGCAAGGATTTAGATTAAGTTTGTTTCCTTGTTTTTAAAATCTCCAATTGTTTATTTGCTGCTTTAATTTTAGAAACACAAAGACTTTTACACACTGTGTAAATTTAAATAAGAGCTGGACAAATTGAGTTGTTCTAAACGTTTGACCAGTAGTGTAGGTCTTAATAAACACATTAGCAAGGTCCTGTATATCTGTCAACATGTAAATATATGGAGGAAGCACAGAAAGCACAAACATTAAAGGGAACGTGCTCCAAATCCAGAAACAGTTCTGAGATAAGTCAGAGGCTGAGCTAAGATCAGTACAGTTAAGGTCTGCACAGGTATTCGCATACCTGTACAGTAGATAGTGACCAAAACGCTCAACCATATGCAATCAACATGCACAAGCACAAACACCTATACACCTCACCTGTTAGGCTTGGGGAACAAGATGGAGGAGTCCGGTTTGCGGATAAAGTATTCATCAGCCACTTTGCTGATGGCCATCTTCTTTTTCTCCCGACGGGGCAGGGTCTCCAGCGACAGGGGGGTCTCCACTTTTGGCCGTAGCATGCCAAGGTAAGGAGGTAGCATGTGGATGAAGATCTGGGAGGAGAGGTGAGGAACAACAGAGTTACCTCTACGGTTTACAGTAAAGTCAGCTTCTCTTTCACGCTTCTTTGGACCTGATGCAAATAAAGAAGTGAGCTGTTGTTGAGTTTAAAACTGGAAATCACAAATGTCAAATCCAATCGGTTGGGCTGAAAACCGCATTAGGAAACAGAGGGTTAATTTAACTGTACTTTCCGCTTTCAGCAGATAGCTTGTTGGCTCACACAGACCTCTCCCAAGTCCATCGTCTTTCCTGGTATTAAAAATCCACTTGTTTGGATTCTTGTTTAATGATTTATTGGACACCTGAAATGTACTTGTCCTGTTTTTTCATATTAAGGGTGAGAAATGACTGGAAATGTAGAATGTAGCGGTGAGATAACCTTTGAAAACAGTTGCTACTGAATGATGTGGGAGGGGAAACCAAATGGGTAATTTTTTCCAATTCTTCAATGTCTACTCTCAAGGTGTCCTTGACCAAAGAACATGAAGGCTGGAGGCTCCAGTGGAGCTCTTTAGTTAAGGATTGCGGGCAACTCTGAGATGTGTGTAATTAAAACTTAAATACACCTGACAAAAATCAAGAAAATCTTCTTTTTATATAACCATCAGTTGGTACTACCTGGCTTTCAGACTTGGAACTACCTTTCAGAAGGATATCAAAGGATTTGATGATAAATAAGTAAATCATTGGGCCAAATGTCTGTCTTGATCGATATCATGAATGCTGTAAATGGCTTCTTTAACTGCACTTTAGGTGATTTTATAGCCATCTTTTAAAATAGCTCTTGGCTTGCCTGTATTGACAGATGGATGCCATTAATGGCCTACTGGCAAGGAACCTGCTGAAGCTGCAATAGTGAATGTAGCGTGAGGTGAAACATCTTGGCTTAAATAACTTTAATAGTGACACTGAATTAAGTCAGTAGCAAATATGTTTCTTTCTTTACATGACCTCCTCTGACCTTTTGTTTCACAGTTTAACTATGACACCTGTCATGTCACTACCCTCTCTATTATCTCTGTATGAGACAGCAAACAGTGACATGATCAACAACAGTCAGTCGGGTTAAACTGAGGCAGATAGCAGACATGATGGTATTGTGTGTCAGTACTATAAACATAAGGAATACCTTTAGTTTTTTTTGCACATTTAAAAAAGGTGCCCAGTTCAGTTTCTTGAGAACAAACACAACGTCTGTACCCTTGAGGCCAAACAATCGTGCTTAATGCATTTCCTTCTTAAAATGAAAGCCAATTTTTAAAACCTGTCAAAGTGTGCCTTTGTTGGTGAGTTACTACCTTTCTTTGTGCCTCACTATCACCAACTGTGAACCAGTGAATAGCATTAATCCACGCCGAGGCCACGCATCTTCACATGTGGGTATGTCCCCAATTTTTTTGTGTGTGTGCAACACACAAGTTTGGACCGACTTGTACAAAAACAGTTCCATAGTGCTACTTATTAATGGTCAAAATCTAAGGATGGGCACTGCAAACATGCTGAGGCTACAATTTCTGTGGTTTGTGGCATTAATTAATGCTATATAGTTGTCCCTATAAATATAAACACTGAAATAAACAAGTTTTCATTCAAATTAATTAACAGGGTCATAGATATCACTGAGGACACTAAGGATTATATTCTATAACCAAACTCTTACTTTTTGAAGTGGTTTAGAAAACCCTGAAACAGCATTTATCCCTTCAAGCTCGGGAAAGAAATAGAGATAAATTAAATAATAATTTAAATAATTAAAGATGCCCTTAGAGTTTTCTTGTAAACAAACAAATGTATGTTTACATTCAGTGTTTTTCGCCAAAATAAATTGTGCGTAACCTCGAGGCTTAACAAATGACTTGAATGCATTTCTGTCCTGATAAAACATTTGCAAAAGGTGTTTTTTTTTTTTTTTCTTGTGCAAAACTTAATTGACCCACCTAACGTAGCGTTCTTTGTTGCTTTAGTCTTACATATGGACCATTTAACACACTTACAAAAAGTCAGATGGGTTTTATATGAAAAACTGGCAATGCCTGAAATCCAGCTACAGGCACCTTCACTGTGCCTGGAAGAGGAGTCTATTACTTTAGATTTAATGATGGCCACTCTGATAAGCAGATGGGTGTTTTCTTGTTTAAGACTGATCTATTCCTAAATAGAAAAGCTAATTTGAGTTTGTTCTTTACAGTGATTCTACAGCTGGAGACGGGAGATATTATTGACACCCGTATAGTTCCTGACACCAGGTTTGCTCCCTCAGCATCCGGAGATATTAACCTCTCTGGCTTCCTGCTGTTCCCTCTTTAAACTCGTTGAGGAGAAGATAAGTGAGAGATGAGAAATATTATAACATATTATTAAACAGACATGCCTGGGGCACCCTGGGCATTTGGTGCCTTTAAAACTCAAAAAAGGCAAAAAAATTTTTTTTTTTTTTTTTTTTTTTTTTTTTTTTTTAAAAGAAGAATAGTTAATATTTCCCTCATGTTTTTGGAATATAATTATTGTATTAGTAGCACATTTATATGGATGAATGCCACATTTTGATTATTGACTTAGATTTTTTTTACAATGAGATTATATTTTGGAGTTTTTTTTACTTACAATTCCTTAAAATGCTATAATGCAAACAATATAAGTTTACAATACACTCTATTTCTTACATCTTTAAAAATATATAGGTTATACAATGGCTTTAAATTGTCTTTACTTTTGTACTAAGCATGTCCAAAGTTATAAAAAAAAAAAAAAATCACATGCATTAATGTACTTGTTTTGACACCAAGAGGAGAGCACAAGAAACATATTGTCACTTTGAAAAAGTTTATATGGCTAACATGTTAGCAAACAGTTGCCCAATAACCATCCAGCAGACACAGAGAAGCACTGATATGGCGTTGTGTTTCTGGCAACCTGTCCAATAGGCTTCACTCTCCTCTTATCTGTTTCGATCTCCACAAACTCTTGAGAAAAATAACTGGCTCTTTATCTCTAAATGTTCACTAGCTAGTTGCTGGTTAAGTTTGTCTGTTTGCGTTTTAGCACTAAGCAGGTAGCTTAGCTAGTCTTTCTGCTAAAAAGACACAGCAAACAGCTGCGTGCTGCTGATATTAGCCAGGAGAGCAGTAAAGTTGGGGGCTGCACAACTAAAACAATAGCAAAATAAATCCGCCCCATACTTGGACAACATGCTTGTTTTCTTCTGGCCCAGTTAATACCTGGTTCCATGGCATGGACCTGGCCCATATACCACATAATTATCAGATGCTACTTCCACATCTGGACCAATTCTGGCACACACACTGAAAGTCTTGCAACTGTCAGCCAATACCAGAGCGACAACAGCCTGAATCTGCCCAGATGTTTAAGTATATGGGCCGGACTCGGGCCGACGACCCAGGCATATGTTGGGAAAATGGTATAATGCCCTCTATACCTGATTGTAGTTGTAAGTGACCCCTTTCACATTGTCATTTGATCCACTGTTAGAATAAAAATATTCATTAGTGCAGCTTTAAAAAATTATAGCACAGTATTACTAGGAGTTCTGGGGTCAAGAAATCTTCCACAACTAATGTTCTGTGCACAAATCTTTCCGTCCAACACTGACACTGATCGTCTGAAGAGTAGGAGTGAAAGGAAGCAGAACCTATAATGTCCCTCTCCCCATCAATCCAGTACTATGCAGTGCTACTATGAGTTCCATAAATCACCTGCATGTGTATGAGCCTTTTTGTGGTGACTGTTACCTGAAAGCGTGACAGAACTCGGAGCAAGGTGGAGAGCTGCTGCTCAGACGCAATTAGCTTCACATAATGCGCAGCGAGGGCAACGGCAACTGATGGGGGTTAATGGTACAATATGACATTCAGGGTGTTGAGGACTGTATGGACTTAATTCAGTAGAGTGTCTGAACCTAAACTACTACTGCTTCCATTACCAAATTAACACACAAATTAACATTATATTAATTATTAAGTTCACAATTACTTCACTGATGAATTAAAATCTTGTCCACATAATGTTTTGCTTAATTTAATTTTATACTTGCATACATTTTTTTTGTAAAGTGACACCCTGATTTCTGCTCAGGTGCCCACAATGTAATAAATTGTGTACATAATTTTACATCTGATTTCACTCATTTTCTATAATAAATTGGATTAATTTGAATGTTAATCCTTACCATTAATTATGTATTAGTCTTAATCAGTTATTGTCTAGTCGTAGTTGTGTTGTTGAATAATTATATAGTTAGATGAATAAAACTTTGGCAACAGACAAATGAAGCTTAGTGAAAGTCACAAGCACCGCTTCCCACTGTCTCAAAGCTCCACCAGCTCATTCTTGTCTTCATCCAATCACAACCTGTCACGCTGGCCTTCAGCCAATCACTTGTAAGCTGTCCAAGTTTAAAAGTGTTCCCTCTCTCTGCTGTCATTTCAGCATCGTGAACATTGCGTAACCCACCTCCACCACCTCAAGCATGGATGCCTGACCATCTCCAATCAAACTATGTGATCTGAAGTTTCCCTCTCATGATGACATTCCCATCCTCAAGCTCCATTCTTCATCACCACCAGTGTCTAGGCTCTGGGGGAAGTTTCCGCTAACTGGAAGGACCTTAAACCTATGGACCACTTCCCCTGGTGATCCACTTCCTGCCGGGGTCTAAGCGCCAAAGTCTATTCCTTCTGTTCACAATAAATTCCATTCAAGTTAAAATTTCAAATACTCTTTTGTTCCCGAGTCCAGCTACACATCATGAATCAAACACATACACACAGAATCCAATCGAATAATTTAACCTGTAGTCTATGATATTTTGTACTTGGGAGGCAAAGACCTCACCTTGCGGACCCACATGGGCATCAGGTGGGTGTTGGGCGAGCGGTGATGCAGGTTAAGGACGACCACGCTGAGGATGACGGAGAAGGTGACCAGGATCATGGTGAACATGATGTAGTTGACGATGATGGGGACGCCCAGTGACGTCTCAGGGATCTTATCAGCCAGCAGCAGCAGGAACACAGTGAGGGTCAGCAGCACGTTGATGGACAGACCCATCTTTTCACCTGTTGGGGACAAAAAAAAAAAAAAAAAAATCTTATTTAGGAGAGTAACAATTACATAGTGTTCCTTCAGGCCTGAGTTTCACCAGGATAAGGTTTTCTCCTCCTCCAACTGGGTGAGATCTACTGTTTTAGCAACATCTGGCCCAAGTAATTCACCACTAATGACTCTAATGGAAAATTTATCTCCCATTCTAAGTGAAGCTGAGTGGACAGTAGGACAAGGCCTCTACAAGGCCACTCACAAACTGTGTTTACCTCAGGTTGGTTAGAGTCCGTAGGCAATGAGTAATTGATGTGTTTTAAAGCAGTGTGTGATCTTTCAGTGGCTGTCAAAGCAGTAGGAGTTCTCCCACTGACTCCATCACACTGTATCACCAGAAAGGTCAACATGTCTGAGTTCTGTCTAGGTTGACAAGTGATTTCTAGAAAGTGCAGTGCATGAAACTATTGATCAGCAGAAAAACAAAAAGAGAAAACACTGGATTGCAACTTAAATGTCTTTGACCTGTCTCTGTATCAGGGGGGGAGGATCATACTTTAGAGGCATGCATGCAGAAACTAGAAAAGATTTTTTTAAAAAACAGACAGGGGCTGGAGAAAACTTCTCACACACACATGCAACCTACAGCTATGGATAAAGGGTTTCTGTGTGTCCTTGTGTTATCTGCTTAAATGAGTCATCAAACATGGTCATGCAGTGGGCATCTTACAGGGTGTCAGACCTAAATCTGTATTGACACTCAAGGAAGACATCCTTCAACTAAAGAAGGTCATATCAGAGGGTGGAAAAAAAACAACAACCTGTGTATCCTTGTTCAGGTTGGAGGAGTTGTTGCTTTCATTATGGGAAAGGTAGAAATAAAAAGTCCAGATATCTGCTCCTCTGCTGCATCGTTCCGTTATATCTTTTTCTCGCAAGTCTTCCAATAATACATTACAGGAGCACCCCTTTAATGTGCATAACTCAGTGGATTTCTACTTGGCCATTTGATTCACTGAGGCCAAAAGGCACATCTCCATGTACAGTAACATGGGTGTTACATTCACAGCAACCTGCTGTGGTGCAGAAGCATAAAACTAAAGACTGATTACTTGGTAAATCAGTGAGAACCAGACAGTCAGAGAAACCAAATATAGTGAACAAAGGAGAGCGGTGAGCTGATTACTCTCAGTAGCTGGTGGGCTGATTTCTACCGTTTTCATTTTTGAGGTTATCGATTCAGCCGCGCTCCAGGAAACAACTATCTAATCTGGACTTGAATCCTTTTGTTCCAGTAATTCCATGAGACTGCCCAATTTAAACGGACCACACGAACACAATTAGGAGATGCTATTAGCAGTTCTAGAGAGCAATGATATGCCAGTGTAATCCTAACCAAAGCTGCATCAGGCTGGAGACGGTCATAGTAAAGCAAACTGATCTTCAATCATCTCTAACATAGTAAACTGGTTTGTATGTATTACTCTGTGTACCTGCATCAGGAGGCAGGTAGAAGTTAAAGATGGCGATGATGGTGATGAGAATACAGGGGAGGATGATGTTCAGGACGTAGTACAGAGGCTTCCTCTCAATGATCAGGTAGAAGATCATGTCCTCGTACAGATCATCATTCGTGCTCTTCCTGCTCGGCTTGTGCATGATGCGCCACTCGCCGCCCTCTGGAGGAACATCCACATTTTAAGCATTACACAACATTTTAATTAAGATCAGCAAAATTATTATTTTTTTACAGCACAAGCAACAAATCTGCATACCACAAGGGGTCCAAACAAAAGTGCAAACACAGTCGAACTGGTAAAAGACACTCCTGTGACCATGGTTTAGATATTAAGCAAAAGTTAGTATAAAGTAGCTAATAAGAGAAAATTAGAAACAGGGAACAACGTCAATCATCCAAAGGAATATATCCATTCTAAATACAAGTACAGTGTCATTTATTGTGCATACAAATATTACTAATCTTCATATCTAACTTTTTCCTGTAAACTGAAACATTGAATTGTTGCAATCTACTCAGATTTTCATTTATTCATCTGTTTAAAAATGATTTTCCCCTCTATTTCAAAAAAAAGCTCACAATTCCCTTTTATCCATCCATCCATCCCACCAAACCCTCACCGCTGTAAGCCTCGTCCAGTTGGATCTCCCGTATCTCGTTGCCCTTTGAGTCAAGTGCATACTGCAGGTCGATCTCTGTCGAGTCATACGTGTAGGAGCGGAACTGCATGGTGCAGTTCTGCCAGTCGAATGGGAAGTATGTTACCTACACGGAGAAACGGGGATGTAGAAAGAGTCCGAGAGGAGGAGCAAAGTTTAGGAGGAATTGAACGGAATGCATAAGAGTTTTAGTTTGTGTGTGTCTGTGTCGATTTTCACCTTAACTCCACAGGAGCTGCAGTATAGTGCAGGGGGAGTCCAGGTTACTCTGCCGTTACTATAAACCTGCACATGGACATGCAAGGCCACATCAAACACCCCATCATTACTGCAAACAGAGATTAACATAACATTAATTACAAACTTGACTTCTTTTCTTAATTCAATGAATTCAACTTTTTATTTGTGGTTTTATTTATGTAACTTCACTTCATGTTGTACATAAAACCTCTACTTCGAATCATTGTAAATCACTGCTAATGTTAGGCGACACACCCGGAACCTGCCCGTTACACTGCGTGTTGCAGACATGGCGAGGTGGTATTCACCAGCTGCTCTTCAGAGTTTGTGTTTGCCCATAGTTTTTTTTTTTTTCCAACACTACAAATACATAGGCTACAGGTCCAAAGGACAGTAGCCATAGAATATAAAATAACATACTGACTTGTTTCATATTGTCTCATATTATATCATGATGTATTGTACCATCTCATATTTTATCATCTCTTAATGTCTTGTAACGTTTCATCTTGTTTCGTTCTGCATCATCTGCAAATGTATCATCTCGTCTCGCATCATATCATAATGCATTGTGTGATATTGTCTCGTAGCATACTGCGTAATCTCATCTCCTATCCCACAATGCATCACATTGTCTCGTGATGTCCTGTCCCATCTAATCCGGTCTCCTACTGTATCGCATATTGTATCAAATCTGATCGGATTGTATTGTATTGTCAAACCTGTCCTCACCAGAAAGACAGCAGCATTGGTTGTTTATTAAAACACAGGAAATGAAATATTTTTTGTAATGGTCATTTTGTTTTAGAAACACTTGTCATTCTGGCAAGGGGCCAGACCAGAAAACGATGATACTGGTTATTTTGAAAGGTAATGACAATAAACAAGTGGTTAGACTTGATGGTTATACTAGACGGGGCTAAGAGCGTAGTCTAACCTTCAGTAACTTGAAGTGACCAATGACACAAGGCAAAAGTGTAACATGGTAGTTCTGCACTGATCTTCATATAATCAAGGCATTATTATAAATAATCAAATCATTATTAGCATGTAAATGTGGTATCGTGCTGACTCAGATGCACATATCATGTAATAGCAGCATCCGAGGTTTGGCTGTAGCCTGGGGCCTTTGTTTCATGTCATCCCACTTCCTCTCACTCAGCTGTCACGTCTTTTTGTTCTGCACAATAAAGCAGAATTTACATGAAAAAGATAGACAGGGTAAAGCTGTGGTCAGAGTGAGGAGAATCTGAGTAACCATGTCTCGTATATGTCTGATTATTGCAGTCACACTCTTCCTTCTGTTCTCTGGCCACAGCTGCGGAGTACATCAACATCTGGCTGCAGTCCCATTCTGCCAGACCCCAATAAAACATTTTAATTGACACAGATAAAAAGGGAGGAACTCAACACATTTCACAGGACACTTCTAAGTGCGGCACTCATGTTGGATGTATACAGAGCTGTTTTGGCCGTTAAGCTCATAACACAATACACAACAAAGTCATCAAGTCAATTAGACACAGATTCTGCAGTGTTTGGTTTTATGCCTCTGCTAATTTAACAGGGAGAGAAGCTTGTGTCCTGAAAGTGGGCTCTCCTAAAACCCCGTCCCCGTGAAGGTGCTGCTGCTGCTAAAATGACCGGCATTGATCATAAACACGCACGCGCACGCACGCGCACGCACGCGCACGCACGCGCACGCACACACACACACACACACAGAAGGGTATACACTCTTTAGCATTTGTGTGCACATATTTGTGTGTGTACGTGCATGCTTCCAAGGGAATGCCTCCTGAGATGAAGTAGCTGAGCAGTGCCATCAGCTCAGTTATTAGGGAGCCATGCTGCTTAATTGCCTATAAAAAGTGTTGATGAATGGAGCAGTGGGAGATATACAGGGGTGTTTATCGGGAGTGTGTACTGTATGTGGAAAGAGAAAGACTATGCTCTTTAAATATCTACATTTTCTAATTTAATAATGTGACATACAATTTTTCCATTACACAGGTACTGTACTGTAACCCTAATGTCCACTGGGAGCAGCTGTGTTTCATTCTAGCTCCATCACGCCGATAACAATCTGCTGCCATTTATTGACAACTGTCGTGACATTAATATTCACAACAAAGATTCACCGAGGTTCATGTTCTGGCTGCGTCACAGCTCTGTCCCGTGTTGGGCTTTAAAAGTTTACTGGATGTGTTTTGGAAGTGGAGCTGTCTGTTCTTCAGCAGACATATTTCTGATTTTGTTTTGAGCAAACAAAGGTCAGCAGCCAGACATGAACCGGGGATGTTGCAGTTCATAGTTGGCACATTAACCCCTGGGCCACTAGTACGCCCTTACCAACGTTTTTCATGTTTTGCAAGCATATCGGAAAACCTGCATTCACGATAAACATTGAAACTAACATGGAAACTTTATAACTATATAACATACCTTATGTGTGCACATCGCCTTTATTTCATTTCTGCATTTCCCTGTATAGTGTATTTATGTAGAGGAAATAGTGTAGCATTCATTAAACTGCTGCACAGACTCTGGAGGTGTAATGGAAAACAAAATCTAGCTTTGCTAAGTCTTCATAAAAAGATAATTAAATAAATAATGACATGCATGAAAATAAAATTAATTTGACACAGAGTAGGTTTATATAAATTCACTAGCTTGTCTGGCAAAGTACGCCCACATGTGAAGTAGTACAGCAGAGAAAAACTAAATGGATACTCAAGTAAAACTAGCTGTTGGACACTGCGACACTATGTAGAATGGCAGCAGATTCTCTCCAGCAGACGAAGCTGTGACCAGTGGACATTGGGGGTGATGGCAGGTTAAGGTGCTTTTAATACAGATTTGCAGTACAGTGCTAACATCATCTCTTCTTATAACCTGATAAATAAACACTTTATAAGAACTGATTATGACCTTGAGTGGAGGTGTATGGAGCAGGCTCAAAGTTGATTATATAGCTAACCGGCGAGAATTAAAGCTGACAATCATGAATAGCTAGCTGTAGATGTATAGCAGGAGCAGGGTGGATCTATATCGACTCAAACAGACAAACACGACCTTTAGCTCTGCCAGTGGAAGAGAAAAAAAGAAATATTTTTGGCATAAACCAAAGTTTTGCCTCATAAGACATTTATTAGTTATATTTAATATAATTGTGTATAACTTATTCAACATGGAGCAGGCACATTAATATGTATGGGAGGGTAAAAAACAAAATGCACCTTAGGGCCTACAAAGAAACCATCCCAGATAAAAAGTTAAATTAAAAAAAAAAAATAAAATAAAAAAAACAAGAAAAGTGGCCAAATGTTGGTGCTGATTCATTAATGTCAGTGAGTGCGGTGCTCATTGCTTACTTATTGATGAGGACAATGTCAGGCAGCCAAACCCTCGCAGCGGGGATACGCAGCACTTCAATCCCATCATGCTGCTTGGGTTTCCATGTCAACCGATGATCTGTCCATTCCTGTTGGGGAAAAAAAATTAAAAAAAATAAAAAAAACAAGTACTACATATTGAGTGTTTATGTAAACAAGGATGTGGACGTTACACACAAGTGCATAAAAAGGGGGCAGGAACAAGACAGACACGGATAATAACAGAAGGGGAGACTTTGCATTTAAAAAAGCATTTGGTGATTTCATCATTTTATTTTTCATTTGCTTCACTGCTGTAATTAGATTCTACTGGGACGTTTTCCCCCAGCATTTGTCTTAGCATAACAAAATACCATTTGCATAATTCTTCATTTTGCATTTACTCTGTATTGTTATGTCGACTCCAAGTGTTCCAGCCTGTTTGTGTGGTGTATTGTCACTGAGCTGTGCATTTCCACTGGAGCTGGAGTCATGGTTGAGTTGGCCAAACTGATGACACATAGTAGGAGGTTGTTCACTTGCAGCACTGTATGTTAATGAAGCGTAAAGAGGTTCCTCATCATGTAACTCTCTGTCTTAGTGAGGCAACAAGCTCATTTATTTTGGCTTAAAATGCACCATCAAAATTTTCTTTGCAGCCCCAGAGAAACAAACATGCAGTAAAATGCAGGGGACGTAAACGGACTTACCAGATTCATGACAACCACAGTGCTCATCTCTTCATTTTTCATATTCTGAAGGGAGAATACAAGGAGGAAGCAGGCAGAAAATAAGTATCTTATTGATGAAAAATCACAACTTATGGTAGCTCAGTTTGTATTACAATAAATTCAGTGGTAATGTAAGTAAAGATTATACACACATGTTCATACAGTACATACACATCTCCCACAATGCAGTATGGTATCGTCCAAGCAGTGTCATAGTGATTTTAACCTAAAGTAAAATTCCAGTATTATATAGTATATAGCTATAAGTTTCTAAAAGTTTATGGCAAATGAAGCTGCAGTCTACATACAGTTTCTTTTTGTTTGCTGGTTTATAACAGTTCACCATTAGGTTAATGTTGGCGATGCGCTCGTGTAGAACAAACCGCAGTGGATGTAGATGTTGAAAATGTAAATTTTCTTTGTGTTTAAATCTTGTGGAACAGGTGACGTGATGAAGGACGCCGATTGCTTTTTTTTACTTGCAAAAGGTTGTGATGACACTCACAGAGTTACGACTGTAGTTGTCAGCTCCGGTAAAAAAGTTCACTGCTCACTGGGCTACACCGCCACCTCTGTGCTGTCTGTGTGTGTGTGTGTGTGTGTGTGTGTGTGTGTGTGTGTGTGTGTGTGTGTGTTGACATGTTCATATCGCGATGACAAACGAAAATAAGCTTAATCGGTCAGCACTATTATTAACATGCATCTTCAGTGATCCGATCACAAGTGGACAGCTCTCACTTCGTCAGTTCACACCTGACTTTAAAATGCGTCTCCACATGCGTCTTGATTGACCGCTTGTGATCGGATCTCACTTCCCCGCTTTATATCAAATTACCCCTCCGTGCCGCACTCGCTCGCTCTCACACACCATAGACTGTAAATAAAGATGGACGTAGCCTCGGTGACGTCACCAATATGTTTTCTGAAGAGCGGTTTTGAGGCTCACTGTGGGCCGTTCCACCATCGCCATCTCGCCTGTACCTGACTCCACCGAACTCCCGGCTAATCCATAAACGGGCAAAGGGCATTCACTCAAAGTGGCACACCCTCCATTATGCAGAACTTTAAGCCTTAATAAAATTCAAACCAGTTAGTTATGTAAAAATTCACCCCCGTACAGTTGTCATGAAGGAGGAAATAAACTATATAGACCAAAGCTGTTTTTGTACCAGGCTGTAAACATGTGTATTTCTGCTGTAAAGTTGGACATTTTAACATGGGAGTCGATGGAGATCAACTCGCTTGAAGAACTGCAGTTTTTGGTGCTTCCGTGTTGGCTATGTTCTTCAGCCTCGGAGGTTGCTGCTTGACTCACACACAGGCAAATTACCAACAGACCCGTCTGTCGAATGGCTAAAAACAACATTTGCACGTAAAGCGGGGACGTGAGATCCGATCACAAGTGGTCAATCGAGACGCATGTGGAGACGCATTTTAAAGTCAGGTGTGAACTGACGAACTGAGAGCTGTCCACTTGTGATCGGATCACTGAGGACGCATGTTAATACCAGATCTGAACAAGGCATGTTCATATCGCAATGATGTCAATAAGATTAATCGTTCAGCACTAATGTACATCTGGAGAAGAAGTGCAAAAATCCTTGCAGTATGTCTACACAGGGCACACTCCAGCCCACAGGCCACATATTTACATACGAGTATTCAGACCCTTTCACTTTTTTCACATTTTTGTTAAGTTGCAGCCTCATGCTAAAATCATTTCAATTCATTTTTCCCTTAAAAGTCTACAATCAATACTCAACAGAACTTTAGTCATTTTTGCAAATGTATTAAAAATGAATGACTGAAATAGTATATTATTAGTATATCATTTTCATTTAGCTCCTGAACTTATGGCAACATCTTTCCCTAGGACATCAGAGCTCATCTTAGAGGCTGAAGCTCAACTGTCTGTGTTGCTCAGGCTGCTGCTGACAGGATTTTCAGAGTAAAATGATGCCTGACATACTCAAATCAGTCGGATAAGCGGAGGTCAACATACTTTATAAATAATGTTTATGTCTTGTCCCATATGCAGTAAGAGCTCTGCTCTTGATCCAAATAATCTTAAATAAGACACATGTTTGGATTGATTAGAGAACTTTCTTATTAGCTGAGCTCAGCTGTTACTTACACTTCAGTAAACCTGATGTCTTAATTCGCCTTGGGAGACAAGTCTTAACCACTGAAATTTAAATATAATATCAACTACTGCTCCTGCCGGGCTGCAGCTGGTGCAATGATGGTGCAACAATGTGTAACACAGTTTGGAGATGAGTTGCCAGATAATAGTCGAACAGCCCCCGTATCCTAGTTTTTCACTCTTTATCATAATACCCAACATTTTGAACAAAAACACACAAACCTGGAACCTCACAGTTGCTGCATGGATCTTACTGTAAAATATTTGAGATTTATGACTTGATAAAGAAATTTTGGTTATTACTACAGCTAGCTTGATTTGCTGCAAGTAGATACCTGTGCAGTCAGCTGATCCACTGGACTCCTGGAGTGCAATATTTACTGAGCATTACTACTGTGTACCGTTTAAAATTATTTCTGTAATATTGAAGTTTATTTGGAAAGTTTTAGGAGGCTCACACTGCCTGCACTAATATACATTGTTTTGCTAGAGTTTCCCATAACTAAACTCAACTAAAAACGATGAGAAAAAGCTAGCTAGCATAACTCTGGTCACAATGGTCCCACCTATGAGCAAAGGTCCTGGTTTAAAAACACTGGGAAGTAGTCATGTGACAAGACCGCCCAACATGGACTTACGGGTAATATTTTCTGGGCTTCGTTTAGTTTTAAGAATTTGGAACAGTGACAATGCATTAGCTAGATTCAATGTCATCAGTGTTACTTCGAGTTGTCACCTCAAAAACAGGAATAACAAAATTCACCTGAGAAATCTGAATAATTTTTTTCCCCATAAAAAAACAGTTACTCTTTAAAGTTACTAGTTACTCTGTTAAACACAGTTTCAGTGCTGCTGTTGGACATGATAGCACCACACTGTACATGAGAATTATGACAACAGCTGATTTGAGATACTGGCTAGATACTGGCAGCAATGGATACACACCAGTCATTTTCAGGAAAGAGTTCATGATGCAGGCTTTGGTGAAGGTGTTTGCATGTGAAGTATCCACTGTGAGCAATGAATAAATGTGCATGTGTGTTTGCATTGTGTGTGTGTGTGTGTGTGTGAGCATGTGATTGTCCATCCAGCTTGAAGGCAGAGCTTCCCTGAGCCGGTGCTGCTATTTAAAACGCTGGGAGGAATGTCAGAGAGACAGCTGGGACAGAAGCAGAGAAGGGGGTGGGGGCAAGAGACTCTCTCTCTCTCTCACACACACACACACACACACACACACATACATACACACTCTCACACAGACACACAAATACCTACCTCATCACTGACTTATCACTCACTGATGCTTCCTGTAAGTGTTTTGGCCAAGTGAATTGGCCTCAGGGTGTCCATGGGGGTAAATGTTAATAATAACACAGCAGTTATCCAGCTGACTAGTTCTGGTCAGAGGAGGGCTGAGCATCCAAGTGGGTCAGTTTTCAACATCGTTACACCCCAGAACTTAAGGAGCCCATGTGACTTCCTCTCAAGAGTCAGACTGACCTTGAGCGGAGCATGCTGTAGATGTGTATGCAAATGTGACACTATGTTATGCGTGTGTGCGTGTGAATGCGGCTGCGTGTGTGTGTGTGTGTGTGTGTGTGTGTGTGTGTGTGTGTGTGTGTGTGTGTGTGTGTGTGTGTGTGTGTGTGTGTGTGTGTGTGTATGGATGCTATGGAGAAAGAAGCCAAGGAGAAATTCAGGAGCAGATAGTGCCGTGGTGTAGCACTTCTGTATTACCTTTTAATGGAGTCACGCAGGCAGAGACTCTGTTGGTGCAAGCTGCTATAACAATATTTCCTAGCTGGATGGATAAAAACACAGAACTTCACTTCAGTAGCATGACTCTTTGTACCATTTGACTCAGCAGGCCAGCAGGTACTGAAGTGAAAACCAGATGGCACTCAGATATACGTTATGGTTAGGTTATGAATAAAAAGACATTACATTTACATGTAGAATACTTTGTTATCCTGTCATGTGTGACTATAGGAGTGTGGTATGTAGCATGGGCAGCAACCACTGTGCTGAAAACCTTTATAGAGACGTCCGTCAGTCTGTGTAAATCAGATTTCATTTTAAAGACATATCTATTAGAGGCAAAGCTGCTTGAGGGAGAGGAACCCCAGTTCTTCAGGTTAGGCCTCTCAAAAACTAAAAAAATTAAAAAAAAAAAAACACAAAAACTTGACGAACATATTGTGCAATTTTCTATTTTAAAGCACTAGTTCAACATTTTAGAAAATACAGTAAATAACACATGAAGCTATAGCTAGCAGCAGAGTAGCTTAGTGTCACACCAAGACTGGAAACCACCTACCAGCACCACTTTACTTCACTAATTGACACATTATATCCAGTTTGTTTGATCTGTACAAACAACAAGTCGCTGTTTTACGGGTTAAGGTTAGTATGTGCCAGACTCTCTCTCTGTGAGGTCTCTGCTGGTTGCCTAGCAATTGGTCCTGGCCAGGAAAAAGTCCTACACATTGTTGTTTTTATTATTCAGGTTTTGTACAGATTAAAAAAAAACAAAGATACAACATGTTAATTATTGAACTTTAGAAGTGCTAGTAGGTGATTTTCGTTGCCTTTGGACAAAGGCAGCTTAAACGTTCCCCCGTTTCCTGTCTCTGTGCTAAATCAAGGTAACCAGCCGCTGGCTGTAGCCTTATACAAAGACAGATTTCAGAGTGGTATTGATCTTCTCATCTAACTCTCCACCAGAAAGTGAATAAGCATATTTCCCCAAATTACTACTTATTCCTTTAAGGCACGACCAAAGATAATAAGTCAACCAGAATACCTTGTAGCTCCCTAGACTATAATGCATCTACCTTCAACATCATATCTAGCACAGCTGAAATAAAAGTTAAGTCATTAGTGCACTATATTGTATTAGCTATAGTTACCTTTTTTAACATTTAAACCTATGATATAGACCTAAAGAGGTAGTGATACTGGATCATCCATTCATGTTTACTCAGTCCCATTATTACTGCTTTTAAAACAGTCTGAGATGAACAGAACTCTGAACTCTAACTTTCTATTGGTGTGATGTTCATCAAATGTGTCTCTCTCTCCTCCTCTTCATCTCTGAAACTGTTTATCTGTCTGTAATTTTCTGTGCCTGTGCATCATGTACAGTCTATGTTTATGTGGAAAGTGTTGGGGTTTTGTGTCTCACCAGTCCAACGAAGGAAGAGAGGATCATTCCCACACGGACCACCACCCTCTCTTCAGGGCTGGGTGCTGGCCGGACCTTTACGTTGTAGTTGGCGAAGAGCTTCTTCATCATAATCTGCTCCATTTCAGATGCACCTGAATGACACATCATATGACTTGTGTTACCCCATTGCTGGTAGTCCTTTTAATGCACAACCATGAAAACCATCAGGTTAGGACGCCACTGCATCGTTCAGCAAGATTTATGTTCATCGCCCCTTCATCAGCCAGTATTAACAACATAGTTGCTACAGTTGTGAACTAATTGTCTTTAAATGACTTCAAATTTATATCATTGCCCATTGCCTTTATCATCTGTGCAAGTGTCTGCTTATTGCCCATCGTTATGTTTTACTGTGAGGCGACCTGTAGCAGCCATAGTGATAATGACAGGAGCAAAGGAGGAGGTCAGGTGACAGCATGTGGAGCGACAAAGAGGACGTTGGGGTGGATGATGGGTTGGCCAAACAAAGGACTTTCACATGGGAGACCACTGTTTCCCATGCCAAACCAGTAATCAGTGTTTCTTTTATTCATGACTGTTCCAAAAGCTAAACCGCAGGTTTGTTATTGTAACTATGACGACTTATTTAAACCCAAACGGTGATCTTTTGCTAAAACTACCCAAGTACTTTATGTGTCTAAACCTAAACTTGTGACTGTTCCACACCCTTAACTGTGTGTTTATTATCGTTACCATGACAATGAAGGTTCAGCACATCTGCTGCTGCTGCGCTCCTATGGGTTGTATGCGAGGATAGGAACAATCAACCTATTTTGTCGTTTAGGTTGGAGGACTTGAACAGCTTATAATATAAACACTTATAATAAAGTTTGTGCTGGGTGCTCAGTCCCATCACACTGGTGGCAAGTGGGGGTGTAGCTAACTAATTGGCTGGCAAGGTGAGAACCACTGAACCCTTTACCTGCGTGGCTGAGGTGATAGTGCACAATTAGTGGATGCTTTCCAGAATGTGTTAATAAAAACATGATGTGTCGTCTAGCAGGGGTTAACCAGACTAATTGTACCTAATTTAAATAAGTGAGAAAATTTAAATTCAAACCAACAAAATATCCTCCCACACTGCCATCTCTCAGTCTCACCTTCTGTCTCACTACCACCCACTCGCATCGACCACAGAGCCCACAGACATTGCAACAGGTACACATTCATCAGAACTGAGAGGGAAAGAATTTTCAGTGACTAAGTAATTGTAGGATGTGGGGCAGAGTTTGATTTTTTGCAAAGGAGCAATGATGCATCAAATAAGGTGCATAATGTGTGTGTTTACTTTATGTTCTTCAACTTACTCACTTGTCTCCCTTCCTGGCAATGAGAAATGTTAGGTCTGGTCACACCAGCACTAAAAACAGGAAACTTTTGTGACAAAATCAGTTCACTCCAAGTGAAGTCACCACCAGCAGACTCATTCATTTAAATGAAGAAGTGGATTTCCTGAATTCTTCGCATTGAGCGACTCACAAATTCATGACCAATGGTAACTAATCTGAACAGGGATGAGCTCTGAGGAGAGAGAGAGTCCAACGGAGGACTTTACCATAGCTTATTAGCTGTGTTAAATCATCCACTTTCATTTACCTGAGCTGTAATTGAGTACACTAAGGAATGGTTTACGGACAGTTATAAGACAAGAGCTGATGGTACAAATTCATGTTTTTAATGAAGATTGTGAACTTATTGGCCCAATAGAGATTAAGCCAACTAGTCTGCTAACTAAAAGTTTGCAAGCTTACCAGCTTGGAGAGGTTTTTCCTCTCTTCAGTAAAGCTCTTTCCTGAAGTAAATGAACAATCCTGATACAAAACGCTAATGAAGTAAACAGAAAGGTACAAAGAAAATAGAAAGCAGCTTGGTGAACGGTTGTGACTGACCAGTGCTAGCCCGACTGGGTAGCTCACCAGCTGCAACACTTAACCAGTGAGTCCAGCAAGTGGTCACCAAGCTTTTAGATGCAAAAATTAATTTTGCTGTGCAATTTTCTGGTGTGACCGGACCGTGACCGTTGTCCTAGTAAAATTAAGTGTTCCCACATCCAGTCTGAGAGACATTAAAAAGTTTAAGTTTTATTACAAAAAAAATGCAAATTCAAGATGAATATAATAAGTAAAACCTTGGAGAATGATGCAATAACCATGGGTAAATCAAAACACTAAATGAAGGCCTTTGTGCTTGCATATTGTTTAAATCTAAAGGCCCATTAGCAGTGATATAAATGTCTGCAAAGTTGTGAACTCAACCCTAAACCCAAAATGCTTCCATTCCACTGCATTTTTATACAAAACTCCTGTTTTATTTCCAGCTATTTCCTCCTCAGTGTTGGAAGGTTAGAAGCATTTATAATCAGCAGCTCTGGTGACGCGGCATTCATCACGTTTGGCATCGCTGTGGCCCCAGCAGGATCTGACCTGACAGGAATAAATGACAACGATCACCCAGCGAGGCACCCCCATTAGCTAGGCACAGGGATGCATGGCTGCTGATGGGCGAGAACGGGAGGTGGATGTGGAAGGCTGGAAATTAGCATTTCTTCTCTCTGCCTTGTTCAGATGACTTGGTAAATAAGTCAAACTAAAGCACAAGACCTGTGAGATCAGATGAGGTAAAACAATGCCGAAGGCTAGCGTTGAGCATGTGAAGGGTGCTGGCATTGAATATAACTTAAGGCAATAAAACATTAATGGTCATTTGCTTTTCTGGAGTCTCTTTGATAAAGGACAGAAGAAGAATTTATAATCCCCCCCTACTTCAAAAGGCATTTGAATGACCTCTCAGCTGTTTTCCCTCATGATAACTTGCAGGTGCACTTGCTGACCAGTGATGAACACGATTACATTGACAGTGACAACAGTAAAGTTCAGTATGAACTACATCTTTCTCTGAGTGGTGTGAGTGCACTGTTCTTGTCCAGGAAGCAGTGGTCAGTTATCAAATCAGCTGCCCGAGGACGACAAAGTCATTGATTTCTCTGAAGTAGTGGATGCCTCTTCACTGATAATGGTTACTCATGGCTTTATAGTGTCTGAAGATATTTAGTTGACATTATGACTGCTGCGAGCAGTGACCCGGGTCTCTCTCTTTGAGATAACATCTTCTGTCACCGCACTATTCCTTCCCTATTTCAATTTTCTTACTTTTGTTTTTCCTTCCCTTTTCTATTTCCCCTTTTTTCTCATAGGCTTCTCATTAATACACCAGCTCTCTGCACAGGTCAGAAGGGAAAGATTTAAACTTGGAGTGAGTTACACATTGTTAGGTGCAACACCAACATCTTTCTGTTATCAGAGTTGAAAAAATGATGCAATAAATCTTTCGGGCTACTTGACAAAATGACAATTTTTAAAGTTTTAAATTTCTATTATATATGACATTTTTTGCTGCGATAGCTGCATGGACCTGGGGACGGATTTGTTTGTTGAGTGGTCTGTCCACTACTTTGGATCAGACTGAAGTATCTCAACAATATTTAATGGACTGCCTAAAATATTGTGCATGGTCATCAGGGGATACATCCTCATAACTGTGAGGATCCCCTGACATTTCATCTAGCGCCACCACGAGGGTCACATTCACGGTTTTGGCAAATATTGAATTGGATATGACCAAATACCTGTAAAGCATCAGCTCAACTTTGTGTTTGGTGCCAAGTAGCAAATGCTAGTATGGTAACATGCAAAACTGAGATTCAGTTTCATCAGTGAGGCTGTGGGGAAAGACATTCCCCAGAGCAACATGAGAGTGAAAGACAGCGTATATAGTGAGCATGTAAACGAAATAAAGGCTGTTTTCATTGACGGGACCTATATTGCCAAACACTATGGATTTTGCTTAGCCAATCTGAGCACCTTCTCCAACTAAGATATCACTGTTGTACACACATTAGGAACTTGCGCTGTGTCCCAGAAACACAATAATATTCCAATGATCTTTCTTTGGTGGCTTCCAGTCTTTAACTGGTATTTACCGGTGGGTTTCTAGTGAACATTATTTTTCTATGTAGCATACTACATATGATTTTAGTGTAGTATCCACATAAGTATTACATGACCACTACAGTTTTATTACATGGGTATATTGTGTCAGCTGGTGGCTTACCTCCCAACGTGCTCAGGCTGCATAAGCAACATGCCAGCAGGAGCAGATCCAGGCTTTTCATGGTGACCTCCAAAACCAAAAAGTCTTCCAAACAGGTCTTCAGTGGGTTAATCCAACGTCTAAAAAATGATTTTTTTCTTCTTCTTCTTCTTCGTTTGCAGTGCAGCTCACTGGAAGTCTTGGTGAGAGTTTTGGTTTGCTCAGTTTGGACTGTTGTTGTCTGTCAGTCAGGCCAGCCTGGCCAACTGCTGTCTGCTCCAATTACCTCTTGGAGGGAGGGGAGGGGAGGGGAGGGGGGGTGTGTGTGTGTGTGTGTGTGTGTGTGTGTGTGTGTGAGAGAGAGAGAGAGAGAGAGAGAGAGAGAGAGACACTCCCCCCCCCCCAAGTCAGCGGGAAAGAGGCATGACTCTTCCCACTGGTTCTCAAACTGTGGCCGAGGTACCATTGGAGTCCTTGTGGGTTTTCCATGGGGGTCTGCAAGAAAAAGAGTGAAGGTTAAATTTCATAAATATTTCACTGGAGAACATTATAGTGATGTTATTGTAGGTTGATTAAAGGTCTCTGTGCTGACAGAGATGAATCCTCACCAGCAGGCGGTGCCATTGTTTCTTTACGTTCATTTCAATCACATTACTGTACAAATCAAAACATGGAAATATCTGGGACATGCAGCCCCCACCTTCACAGATATAAAGCTATATATATATGTTATTGAGATGAGATATTTTACGACCACACACACCCATAGACCTCACCTGATAAATCATGGATGGTTTGCTTGGAAAGTCCAGTTATTTTTTTAATCTTTAATAGGTTGGCAAAATATATCACAAGATATCACAAAACAACTAGATGCTTTATTTTTTTTCTGGTTGATGGAGTTACCTTTACTTTGACTGAGGTGATATTCAAGCATAATTCACAGCCATTTAAAATATGCGTTGGTGTTAAAGGGCTAAATAGGCCCATGACTGGTCACTGGCAGAAATCATTCAAATGGAGTATTATCATGATTACATGCAGTTAAATAAAAGTATATGTATGTATAAGTAAATATATGTTTGTAAGTCAAGGTCAATTGAGACAAACTGCTCGTTGCTTACATAAGTTAACACTTTCATTTCTGATCTACTGAATGTGCTGTAAGAGTTAGTATATTACATGATGCAGTACAGAGTGTACATCAAACTCTCTAAGTGAAGACCCAAGTCTTGTGTCAGAAACTTCCACCTCCATGACATTCACAACTATCAGCTGTTGAGTCGATTGCTCTGATAAAAGTAATACAGGATAAAGACTCACCGTATATTCTGACTGTAATTTGGGAACAAAGACCATGTCTTCTCCTCACCCATTTTCTTCTATTTTCTCGCCTCCCTTTCTCTCCTTACAGCAAGTTGCTACAAGATATTGCCCCACCTGAGTCTGACTCACTGGGTTCCTGACCATGGAACCTTTTGGTTTACATGGTAATGGTAATAATAATAATAATAATAATAATAATAATAAACTTTATTTGTATAGCGCCTTTCATACAAGAAATGTAACACAAAGTGCTTTACAACAAAGAAATGACATGCACCAAGTGCTTCACATGAAAAGAAAAAATATGCTTCAAGTGTTTTTTGAGTCATTGCAAGGAGTCTAAAACCTCTTGCCACCACATCTTTCTGACATCAGAGTCAGGGTGTGTCTAAGAACTTCTGTAACTTTGCAAAACTGATGATCCAACAACAATGCCCAATTCATGCAGAGATTAACCAGTTGAGGAAAAACATGCAGAGTAAGAATAGCCAGGCCTTCATTCGCCCTTTTTACTTGAGAAGGTGACTGCCTGGTAGCTACAGCGCTTCAATGCCCTTACATTACATCTGCCCTTACATACTATTCCACATAATGTAGATTTTATGTTCTTTTCCAATGTAGTTGTGATACAAGATTTGCTTGGATTAAGATGGCTATCTTGTACGGGCAACCACAGTAATACCTGGACATATAGAGGTGATACGGGGGCCATTATTCTCACAGTATAACGCTAAGTTGATCAAATCGTTAAAGTGGCAAACACTACTGTATTTTCTGAAGGCCTCTGCTGTAAAATGTCTCGATCCTGCCTTTATATTCCCCCCAGACTCATCTCTTCATGCCACTCTGCTCTTGCACACATTCGTCGACCATCCGCTGTAATTTACGGTTCACTGTCACTGCCATTGGGCCTGCCGCCAATTTAATTACCATAGAAGCTAACTATTAACAGCTAGCAGCCAGTGTCAAGTCACACATCAAATCAGTGGTCAGGAGAGAGTGTATAAAGCTCCTGTTGGCAGTGACTCAAATTCAGTGATCTCTCCCAGAGCAGCCGTTATAGATCACTGTGTAATTCTCAAGTAAGTAGTTAACTTAAATTGGATTGATTGTTTACCCGTGATGATTGTTATTTTAGATGACATGTAACTGGATTACATTAATCATATCACATAAAAAAGTTGATGCTGTCACCGTAGAAACACTTCAATGAAATTACAGTTCGATGTGGGAGATGATCATTATATTTCATTCCAAGATAGTGTCAAAGTTCCCACTTTATTTTCTGCTTTAATTATATTGAAATTTCATCTGTTTAATCGCTTTCTTTTTTTGTTTATTCTCCTAATTACCTCACACAGATAAACTTTGTCTTATCTGAGATTTCAAATTAAAAGTCTGCCAATTGAAATGTGTGTTCAGACTTCAATTGAAAGTAATCAAAGCACACCACACAAACACATCTAATACACCCTTCCCAAAGTATAGATATGCTGCTATAACAGCCTCTTTAGTTCCCATCCACGCACAGGAGCATTAGTGAAGCCAAACACTTATGTTGAGCGATCAGACCCGATTCCCATTCAGCACTCCAGTTCATCCCTAAGGGTGTCCCTTTCTGGACCCTGGCTTTGTACACAATTGGAACAAAGTGTGCTTTTACACCTAGCCTGTTTGGTTCAGATGAACTGCGGTGTGTTTGCCTGTTTAGTTGAGTTCATTTGGACTGTCACCAAATCTCTGGTGCTATTTAACACCAGGGACTTAAATATACAGTCAGCAAAAGGACTGATCAATCACAATTTGTATTTGAATGATCCAGTATAGATTCTTAAAATCTTACAAGTTGATCTTTGCATTTGCACCTTTTTTCAATAAACATGTCCATCTGCACCAAATATCACATGGCTATACTTTTTGTAAGTGGTTCAGTTAGTGCTGCATGATGCGTATATTGTTGACCTTGTGGAAATTGAGTTGTCACAGTGTGCACAAAAAGGTTATATCAAGTTAAAAGGTAACCTAGATGATGGCTGCTATGTACAGTGTGTGGTTTGTGTCATTGCTGGGGAGCTAACACCAGCTAACAGCTGTCTGCAGATATCAGGCTGATGTCTTGTCAACACAAACAGTGCAGACGAATCAGTGAGCAGACAGTTTCTGCCCTGCCTGTGCTCAACGTGACCATTACCGTGGATGTCTGTACTTAGCTGAAGCATCTGCTACTGACAGTCCTTACGCAGCTGAATGGGATCGCATTTATATTTGTAATTATGCATAATGGTGACACCCTTGTAAGTGGTGCAGGTTTTTTATTATTCATGCTCAACTGTTTTGTTGAGCATGAACAATAAAAATTAAATTAAAGATATTCTTCTTTAAGTCTCACTATTCCGACCTTGAATAAGTTAAAAATGATCTAATTCAGTTTTACAGCAAACTCTCCCACATTCTCCAAGTGCAGTAGCACAAGCACACACACAATACAGCCGACATCTCTTAAAATAAATCAACTATGGCCGTTTTAGTCAAAAGAGCAATAAAAATAAAAGTGTGGTACCTTAGTTAGGAGTCGTGAGTCCAGCCTGCAGCTTCGACCAGTTTCTTTGTCTCCTACAAAGGACCAGGTGATCAGCAGGTGTACGAAGATGGCGTCTCAAAGTCGTCTCTACCGCGGAGTTCATTTAACTTTGAGAGTTGACTAGTTGTCTCGTCGCGCTCCGACAAATCTTACATGTTTCCATGTCGAGAGCCTAAAGCATGAGCTGGGTTAGCTATACAGTGGCTCGGAGTCCATTCACTTCGCTAATGAATGCTAACGGCATACACTTAGTAAGCTAACGAGCTAATTAAACACGTGAAGCTATTAAACAACTGTCTGCCGAACTTGGAGTGAAAATATCTCCATTTGCTCACAGGAAAATATGTAGAACAAGTGTCCTGAGGAAGACTGTCGAGTAAAATAAGCTGAGACACTGATGACATAATTGTTTGCGTAAACTTCACACATACAACAGGTCACGACCTAGTCAGTCAAGGCCCCAAATTATAACACTCTATCACTTCTTCGTCACTTCCCCTCTCTCTCTCTCTCTCTCTCTCTCTCTCTCTCTCTCTATCTCTCTACCTGCACATCCCTGTGCTCCACTCACCTCAACTTACTCTCCAATACAACTTCCCCTTCACAATAAAATTGAATATTTACAACTATGCAACTGAAGCCTTTTTTAAAACATAGTGCAATTTACTGAATCAATCCTGGTGATATTATACTTCCTGTTTACATCCCCCAAAGCATCCCTGATTGGCACTGACCTGTTGTTACTAGAGCTCCAGAGAGAAACCTGAGAGGAGATGTAAATCTACACTGAGATGGTTTCTGGCTTCTTATGGATCAACACTTCAAATGAAACACAGGAGAAGTGTAAAATATGGACCTTTAAATGTAAAAATGTACAAGAAGTTGTATGTCGCAGGAATTACATCAAAACACCCAAGAAAACTCTCAGGAGACCAGCGTTACAATCATACAAATATATTAGTTTGTTTTATTCAATTATATCCAATAATACGTCTCCGTTGACTTTGTGTAAGTTATTATAGAAATAAATACAGATCATATTGCAAATGCAGAGACAAGAGTTTGGGATAATAGAGTGTTGGGGGGGGGGGGTTAAGGGGTTAAAGGGGTTAAAGAGTAAATATTGGGTAAGGACTGTTTCTTTGAAGGTGTCCAGTAAATGATTGGCGCATGCATGCTTGTAGTCCCGCCCATCTGTGATCCTTTACCTCAACCCAGGAGTTTCAAACTGCAAGCCCCACGGCTCTCCGTAGTCCCTCTCAGCTCATTTCTCCAGGTGATCCATGGGATTGGATGGCGTTTTGTAGTCGTGTTATTCCTTGCCAGCAACAGGGGGAGTTATTGC